GACATACATACGGACAAATAGACAAAAATTATTAAAACTATATTTTGGCTTCGGTATCGAACGTAAATCACACCCCAAGTATTCTTTTAAATAAATATTCAATGTAAAGTTTTGACTTCCATACCATTTTATTATATGCATAGATTTAAATAGGTAACGACACAGAAAGAGATTAGAAGGGCCTCGTAGGCGTCGCAGGCGTGCCACAGTTATGTGTGAGCAAATGCTCATAACTTGACCAAAACTTTGTTTTGATTGCGTCGTTGCTATTTACTAACCATACGCGTTACAGATAGCTCTCTATGCAGAGGTTGTCTGGAAGCAGATGAAACGACCGCTCATGTGATCCTAGAATGCACGAGCGTTGCAGAACACCGGGCATCAATCCTCAGGAAGCCGAGGACGCTCCTAGAAGCCTGTGAGAGCCCCAGGAGGCTACTGCGCTTCTGGAAGGAGCTGGGCTGGCTGAGCTAGCTAGCCCAATATACCCTGCACGCAAAATGGACCAAGTACGGAGTCTACGTGCGTAAATGGGGGCCCACAACAAGTAACAAGTAAGCGTCGTTGCTGATTCAAACGTTTCGTCGTCAAGTGAGCGTTGATTGGTTCGATTGTTTAATGTCGCGTCGATTGATTGGAAATTTATATATATTGGGGGGGGGGGGCGAGCCGGCTACATCGGTCCGTTCTACTGCGATCACTCTTCTAACCTATTTTTGTGGTCTTCTCGCTTCTCGTTCATCGTCGTCGGTGGGACAAGTGCCGTAAAGAATAATTAATACCTAAGTGTCGCCAGACACGGTACGCCGGTGGCCGCCACACGCTATAAATCGTCGTTGCTCTCTTCTTGTGGCCCGCACCGGCCACTTATTGCGCCGATACAAAACGCCGCCACACGTCACTCGCGCGATTGTGTTGTGCATTTAGCCAATGTCAAGTGTTAAAATGTTTACAAATTCTATAGCACTCGTGGTCAAAGTAATAAATCAAGTCAAAGTAAGTGGCAGTCAAGTCAATCCCCCTTTCCCTATGTTCCAGTAAAAGTGTGGGGATTTACTGGAACCTCCCCGTGGACTTCTTGAGGGAACGTCGAAAGACACTTTCCGCTATTTTGTTTCACTTGCCAACACTTGTGCATGTTCCCGAACACTTAGTGGTTAATAATCCACCATTATTAGACACTAACATCCGCCACAACACAATTTTTGACAAGAAGGGAATCAACATTAAAGTTTAAAAAATGGCAGTATAAACATTATCTAATAGAATGGGTTGATGGAATTTGGTAGGTATCATACTTGTATCTGTACCGGTTCATCGCATTTTTTTTAAATTTATTATTCAGTAAAGAGAAGATAATTATACTTCAACTTTTATCATTAATTTGTGGACAGTGGTACACTTACCTAATTAATATCTACATTATATAAAACTAGTTTTTAACGGGTTAATGCACGAAACTTTATCTATTTATTTATTGACGTTTCGCAGCCTTTTCAGTTCTGCTTCGTCAGAATACTAATTTTTTATTTAATTTTGTCGAGCTATCTTCGAAAGATTTACTCTAAAGTTTCGTGCGTTAACCCGTTAAAAACTAGTTTTATTTAATGAGTGATGTGCGTGAAAACCTAAGAAACAAATTTCTACATCTTATTTTTTGTAATATTTAGTTCTGTGTTCTGTTCTATGTTCCCAATTATTAAAGATGAAAAATAAATAAAATAAAATAGGACTTCTGTAGACTTCTTTTTTTTAGGTGCTTGATATTTTATTTTAACGCGTCGAATCAATTAAAATAAAACTGGTCTCAAACGGATATGCAGAGCGATTTAATATAGTTTAATTTTTTTTAAAGGTTCGGAATACAATTAAGTACCTTCACCAGCCCCTCTAGCTTGACCACCGAAACGGGATATGATAAAGCCATATATCGACATTAACTGTCAGACTGCTATGGAGTTTGACAGTAGTCTGACAGTTAATTTCGATATATCGCTTTATCATATCCCGTTTCGGTGGTCATGCTAGAGGGGCAGGCTCCGTGGTCACAACACTATAGAAGTTAGTAAGCATTTTATAAAAATATTTGACCTTCCCTTTCAAAATATGTATTGGCATATTATTTTAATGTTATATTAATTTGTTAATAAACGCGGCGACAAATATTATAGGAAGTTAGCTAGAAATAAAATGTAACAACTATCCAAATTCAAACTGTTCTTCAAATATTTTCTAAATACAATCAGAATGAGCAGAGTACTGCTTATAATATGATGTTGAATAATATAAATAAAGCAATTATCACTAAATTATGCGTATTATATGACGGGTACGGTCCAAACCCGACCAAATTAGTTTTGTTCGTTCTGAGGTCATTGCTTGAGGAAAAACAATGCTATTTAAAGTTATATTAAGTGGATGATGTAACTCGTTACACGAATTGATGAAGATTGAAGTATGGCTAAAAAAAATGTGTGCGTGTACTAGTGTACACACGTAAGAAGTGAAACTTCTATATGGCCTTATTTTTTTCGAAAAATGATGTACATGCAACTTTCCAGAAATATATATATAGGCGTGCGCTAAGATTTTTCAAAAACTCACCCACTAAAGGGGTATAACTACACCTTACCTTACCTTACCTTACCTTACCTTAACTTACCTTACCTTACCTTACCTTACCTTACCTTACCTTACCTTACCTTACCTTACCTTACCTTACCTTACCTTACCTTACCTTACCTTACCTTACCTTACCTTACCTTACCTTACCTTACCTTACCTTACCTTACCTTACCTTACCTTACCTTACCTTACCTTACCTTACCTTACCTTACCTTACCTTACCTTACCTTGTGTGAAACACGAATATTTGCTGTCGATACTTTTTTTTTAAAGTTGACAGAAGAAGCAATTGTTCGGATGAGGTAAATAGTGCTCTTTTAATAAAAAGATGGCGCGTAACCAAAAAACGTGACGCGTAACTGAAAAAAATGTGACGGTAAATTTTTTTCCAACGCCGATAAAGAAGTTTCACTTCAAAAACTGTTCTATCCGTAAATAAGCAGTTTTATTCATACACAGGGGCGTATTTTAAAATCTGGCGCCACGAGCCACTACGATTTACGACCTTCTTTGGTATTCATTGAATACGCCCTAACGGCAAAATAAGTGAAATAAAATAAATTGGCTGTCTGTAAAGTCGGTTCACGGACGATACAGCGGCGCGTGTCGGCCGCCCGGGGAAGAGAACAATTTTGCCGCCCTCTTATTTAAATGGTTAAAATATTTTTGTTACATATTGTAAAATTTTGCCGTCCCCTAAGAAGTGCCGCCCGGGGGGGGGGGCGCCCCTTCCGCCCCCACTACGATACGTCACTGGGACGATAGTTTTACGTGGTAACGTCATAAAGAAATATTGATGAAAAATTGCATAATTGCTAGCTATAACATCACGCGAAAAGAGAAATAAAAAATGTGTACAAGCCGGCTCTTGTGCCGATCGTCCCTCTCTGTCGCTTGTTCCGCACCCTCGCTTGCACTTCAGGCCTCAGGCTTAGGCGGAACGTGACACTTTTTCGTGCGTGCAGCTGGTGCTCATCGATTTATAACACGTTATCACGTCAATAAAAACAGTGTTTTTTTCTGTAAAAGATTTGTGTGAATTTGACTATAAAATCAAAATTAAAATCAAAATCGAATTTGACTATAAAATCAAAATCAAATTCGCATGATAAAGGAGGATGTGAATCATGAGGTGAGATGCATGGGAGGTATAACAAACACGTATGTATGAAGACCCTGAGTGTCCACTTCTCGTCGTCTGATGCTAAAAATGTGCAGACAGAATTGCAGAAAACACTATTACATACAAATTAAGCGTCAATAATTTCAAAGCTATCATTTATAAAATGATTGGGTTTAAAGTTAAAGTGTTCCAAACGTTCCGGCAGGCTTTTTCTATTATTATAATGAAGATGATATGATTTTGTATTGACACCGTAACAATATAATATTTTGTAAATATTGTCACATAATTATTTAACGCTGTAAAGTTTTTTCGCTAGTGTTTCTTCACGGCTAATAAAATGTCCTACCACCAAGGTAGGGGAAAAAATATAGCATCGTTCATATTTTTTGTTAGACATGATTTTTTTTTGTAAATGTTGCTACTTCTGTTAAATGCTGATGAGTTTCTTGCGCCTATTCATCTCATCAGCTAAAAGCTGTCCTGAATGGGTGGAAGGAAAAAATATTGAACCATTCAAATCTGGCGCTACGAGCCACTACGATTTACGACCTTCTTTGGTATTCATTGAATACGCCACATAACGGCAAAATAAGTGAAATAAAATAAATTGGCTGTCTGTAAAGTCGGTTTACGGACGATACAGCGGCGCGTGTCGGCCGCCCGGGGAGAAGATTCTAAGAAGAAAATGATTCAATAAGTCAATTTGAATAAAGTATAATTTCATTTATTCATTCAAAGCTATAAAAATCAAAAGAGGTCTTCTGTTCCCTTAGCACGAACCAATATCGAATTCAAATCATTTGCGAGTGCGAAATGTCTTTGTCAAATGTGTACTGATTTTTAGTTCTCGTTACGTACTTTGTGCCGCTGCTGTTCAAGTTTCCATACCAAATTTGACATTGACATTTCGGTTTGCAAACTATTCGAACTCGATAATGGTTCGTGCTAAGGGTACTGTAGACTTCTTATATAAGTTATATTGTGCATCCAATATGAGTAAAGAATTTTTGGCTTTGACTCACTGTCTTAGTCACACGCATCTACTCTCAATGACATAACATCACTACCCTGGTATTTAATATTAAATCCTCGACAATTGAAACGTGTTGAATGCTGCCTGTCTCGATATCAGCTGTGAGGAGTCGCCATCACAGAGTAATTGCCGCCATTTTCCTTACTCCAGTGGTCGCTTAAAAGACGCGAGCAGCGCACGGCACGCCCGCTGCTCTTCCCGCCAACGGTCATTTTGTTTTTTTTAATAGTTTTTTTTTCATTCGGAATTGTGCTACAAAGTTTTTAATGCCAATTTTTTAAATAATGTTTTAAGTGAATGAGTTGGTTTATTTTTTCAACAAGATGTACGGAAAGATTGTTTATTTTGTTGTTCTGATTAGTTTAACTTATTCGGTGCGAGCTGTGGAGGAAGGTAAGTTGATTCTTTTAATGATTGTATTTTTACTTACATAATTTTACTCTTAATATCTGTTCCTGGGTGTGCTTCACTTTATTACTTTAACTTATCGCTTCCCACACCTTAATACATTATAATTTATTAGAAAAACTAGTGTATGTTTCCAAGACCACCCCCAAAGACATATTCTGAAATACCCTTGATTTAATGTAGTTTTAAACCTCAACATCGACAACAGGTTCTGTAATGCCCTTGTGCTTTCATTGATTACAAAACATTAAACCCGTCGCATTTTATTTTTATCGATTTGCTCCCAGTCCAGTAAGAGATTATGATAAAATATCTAAACGACAACCATCCATCCATACTGTCTGGCTGTTACCTCTTCACGCTTAAAGCGCTGAACCGATTTGAATGTGATACATGGATAGTTTAAGTCTCGGGAGAAGACATATAATAGATTTTATCCTAGAAATAACCCTTTTAGGTAGAAAAAAATTGTGGGTGTCCACCCATATTTTTTTTATATGTATGTATGGAAAACTAATTCTCAGACGAATTAGCGGGAAGAATTGACTTTCCATACAAACTTCCACCCACTTTTTTTTATATCCATTTTATATACAAGGCACAGCAAATAATTTGACGACCTCCGTGGCCGAGTGGTTTGTACGCCGGGTTTCATGGTGTCGCCGACTCGAGTGGTCCCGGGTTGGAATCCCGATGGGGGTAGATGTTCGCAGATATGTTAATATATTTTTTATTTTTAATTAAATTCAAATCGCAATATCTCAATAACCCGACTAGCTATCGAATTCAATTAAAGACTGGCATTACACGTTAATATGCTTTACAATGGTATATAAATAAAATAAATAAATATTTCCAGCACTCACACCAATTAGCCTAGCCCCAAAGTAAGCACTATAAGGCTTGTGTTATGGGATACTAGGGTAACGGATAGAATACATATACTGTACATATATAAGTATATTTTTATAGAAATACATATTAAACATCCATGACTGGAGTACAAATGCTCGTATTCATCACACAAACATCTGCCCCCACTGGGATTTGAACCCGGGACCTCTCGAGTCGGCGACACCATGAAACCCGGCGTACAAACCACTCGGCCACGGAGGACGTCATATATTTTGCTCCTGTACAAAAACCTTGGTATCTGTACCAATCCCCCCATACAAAGTGGTTGGTCTCCTTAGCTTAACGAAAATAGACACTAGCGTCATAAAAATTATATAAAATGAAGGGTGATCATTCATATACCATTTGTACGGGAACCGATGTCGCCGGCTCGCCCCCACCACACCTCCACCTAATAGATAATAGCCAATCAACGGACGCGACATCAAACAATCGAACCAATCAGCGCTCACATCAGATAGCAACTAAGCAATCAGAACCGAGTTTTGAACAAGTTATGATTAAAGATCTACCTACTTAGTATTAAGTTTAAAATTTTGACATTTGCATTATATTTTGGACAATTGAATTAATTTTTACAATATGTTATAATACAAGATTGAAAATTTGTAATATTGGAACGTTTCATAATTATGACTGTAGATTCTAAATATTTAGTTTAGGATTATTGCAATACCCTAACTGGGTTCTTGTTTGGAATGATACTTATATATATTTTTTGTAACAGCATGTAAACAGCAAGAATGCAATAAATCAATATGAAAATGAATATGAGCATTTGCTCACACATAACGGTGGCGCGTCTGGCTCTCCCAACTGCTTCAGGAACTCAGTCGCGTGATCGCGAGGAAGTTGCTATTGTTTGTTGTTTACGTCTTTATGTCTATACAGGGTGTTACAAAAATACAAATAAAGCTTGAAGGGCGTTGAAGTACATCATACAAGTCTTTTCTAATTTTCTTAAAATATTTGCAAGAAGTTTAAACTTTTTATAAAAACAGTTATTTTTAATGAATAATAAAAATATCGATCGTTTTAAGACACGTCACTAGTTCGAGGTCATGCACCTTACCAGGGGTAGTAATAAATCTGCTGTAATAAAGAAAATTAGAGAAGATTCCTTATAATGATGCACTTCAACGCCCTTCAAAATTTATTTGTATTTTTGTAAGACTCTGTAGATATACTTAACTTATCAATAATGTCTTCTAATTATACCTACTTTTATTTACTGGGATGTTGTTAATGCTTAAAGGTGACAAGTGCATCAAGAATGGTGCCCCAGGTATCTGCAGAAACATCAGGAACTGTAAGTCAGCCATAGAAGACTTCAAGAAGAAAATATTCCCGCAGGTGAGATGTAAGAAATCTGTTTAATTTTATAAGTGATTTTGATTAATATCTCGTAGGATGATTGATAAATCGAATTTTAGCAAAAATCCTAGGTATTTTGAGAAAAGCGAATTGGAAGCGATTTTGAGAAAAGCTTCGAAGGCCGCTGCCGCGGAATGCTCGCTACGCTCGTTCGACTCGCGCTTCAAAGTCATTACACTAACAAATATATAAACAAACGACTCACTTTTTCTAACAAAATTTCTCAGTGTCAATCTTTTTCAGTAATGTTGAGAAATGTCATCGCCATTGTCTTAATTTATCCGAGTTTTCGCAAAATGCCTAGGGTTATCGCGAAAATTCGATTATCAAATCACCCTAAAATAATTTCAGGGTTCCGCACCAAAGGGGTGACAAAAATCGTAAAATCTATAAATATATATTATAGGCTTAGATTAAAACAAAAAAAAAATTAAAACAATTAAAGCGGGTGTGCATTTATGACCCTAGAACCCTCCAGTAGCTCCATTTCAAAAGACTGACGATTTGGACCCGACCAAGTCATGGCCGTTTGTTGAAATTTTGTTTCTTGCTAGGGCAGACGTTCGGTCCTACATAGACGGCTCAGGTATACTGGGAGTCCTTAACTAGGTGCAAGGTTGCTCCCCTTATCGCACCTTTATAATTGAAGTGACCTAATCCAAAATTCTTGTTTTTATGGTAAAAGCTAAAAATGTGATTGACAAGTTGGTCATTTTTTGTTTTTCTAATATAACTTATATTATACGTTTGTTATCATATTTTTTATTGTTAATGGTAAGATAGGAATTGTTGTCACGATTGTTTACTAAACCAGTCTGTATAATTAATTAGAAAATTTGTTAATTAATCATCAAAAAAAAAACATGTCACTTATTTTCCGAAAACAGTTTATTATAATTGGCTTATTTCACTTTCTGCCCATTTTTTACTAAACAACGTAAAACAAAAACTTAACTATTCAATATAGAGGCGATACATTTCTAATGTTATATATTTGATAGATGACCAATTTTGTAATATGCTAGTTTAATAATTAATGATTTTCTAAATTAAAGAAAAATGAAATAAATGTCCACGCAACACTGAATGGGGTACTTCAATACTGAGGGAGGCGCGGTATGCGTGTCATTTAAAAGAGACGGAAATAGTACGTTTGTCTTCTTCTGGCCTAAAAGAGTCTGTTTATTATTAATAAACTGATAGAATACATGTTTTTATGTAGTTTCACGTTTAAAAGTCAATTTGCTATTTTTTTCATTTAAGTCACTTCAATTCTAAAGGTGCGATATGCTATTCTGCCGCGCTCGAGTAAATCCAAAAATCCCCGCTTAAGCACCTCTACTATAAGGTGGTATAGTTTTTAGTCGATAGTAGGAGACGACACGACGAAGTTAACTTTTGCTTTGATAAGTTACATGTTTCAATTTTTTCTGAAGATTAATATTTATGAAGCAACCGTTTTAAAAAATAACTGTTACACCTATTGGAAAGCTGTCGCAAATACTAGTTACGGTGGACTTAGAAACCAGTCTTACAGTTGCTGGGAAATCTTTGTAACATGACTTTGTGGTGAACGAACTCAATGTTTGACTTAATAAAATAATACATGAGTATTTTCATGCCCTTTATGGGAAACCGAGGAGAGTTTTGTATCAATTTTCATTTGCTTAATTAATAAAGATGACGACTTCCTTTGTTTTTCATCGTGTATCAGGTAGATCAGGGATGGGCAAACTACGGCCCGCGGGCCCTAGAATGGTTGAATTTCAGCCATCAAAAAAACACCAAGGTTCTCACCAACAAGTACCATTTTGTAACATGTTCCGTGAAGGACCACCCCGCTGCTGAAGCTGGTACCTAGGGACTTATTTAATTCGTAGCTAAGGAGAAAGGAAAAAGTTTGCCCATCACTGAGGTAGATTATCAAAAAATATTAGACGCGTACCTACTTTTTCGTTTTTCACATAATCAAAACTACATAGATATTTGATTGATTGGAAAAGTCACATGACGTCACGTTTCGGTTCAAATTTTACTGAAAAGTGACGTCACGATCCCCCACTCCCAAACTTTGACGCGTATTTATCTTTGTCAGTTTTTGGTTGATTGACATAAAGAAAAAAATTAGGTGTCTATTATTTTTTGGATCATCCAACTGACGGACTAAATAGAATTTCGTTTATAATGCGATTCAAATAAGAATAGTGTATGTGACCTAGTAATAGTGCATGATTATTCATAACTACTCCGGCGGTAATGCAGAGATGAGCGGAATAGAAGAGCTAGATTCTGATTAATGTTTTTTCTCACAGTCTTAATGAATAAATATTATTAAAAATCAATGTTTTTTCTCTCAATCTTAGTAAATAAATGTTATTAAAAAAATCTGATGCTTTTTCTCACTTAATCTTAGTAAATAAGTTTTATTAAATAAAAACTTTTTTTTGCTTACTCTACCTATTTGGTTTGAATTGACAGCTATGACATCACAATATGGCGTCCAGTCGGTCCTATTCTTAGTTGAATCGCAATGGCTATAACATTATTTATTTAGTTATAATATATTTATTTTTCTTTAAATTTAAACATCAAGCAGTTACATGCTTAAAAAATAAAAATTATGTCTATAATTGCTATTTCTTCTTTCAAATGTTTAATACTTGTAAAAGTATTCATTTGACATTGTGGGTTACCCACAATGCGGAGAGATGGCGCCGCTTTGCAGCTTAATAATGGCTAGAAGCATTTCGACGCGGTCATCAGGGCCGCGGTAGCATAATTGGTCAGTGCATTCGCCCGGATAACGAAGGGTGCGGGTTCGAGTCCCGTCTGCTGCCTGGTCCGCATGGAATTTTTTCTAGTTATATTTTCTTTATCATTTATTTATTTATACTCACCACACCGCACGATGACTCTTTGGCGGAAGAACTTTAAAGAGACCTATTAGATAAAACTACACACATCAAAAGTGTCTAGGGATCAACATATATTTTTGCAATAACTTTTCTCCTGATTGATATTAATTAAAATTTTCTTTAAGGATTCATCAAATAAAGTGTTTTCGTTTGTCACAGTAACGATAAACCAAGTCACCTTTGCATTAATAAAGAAATTTGCCATTTTCCTAATAAAGGGATTTTTGACATTTGAACCACTAACACAAAAGTTCGAAAAAAAGACTGAAATAACAGTTTTCTCTAAAATTTTATTGGGTAACTTAAACAATTAATAATCCGTATTTCTACCGCGAACACTAACAACACAAGAACATCGGTTTGGCATACTCAAAATGAGTTCATCCAAATCACGCTGTGGAATGGCCGCCCATGTTCGTTGCAACAACAAAAAAAGGTCTTCTTGCGACTGGATACCCTCCATATTCGGCAGAGCTCTTCTCTGTAGCATATCCCATGCATGCTCAATCGGGTTCAAGTCTGGCGACTGAGCAGGCCAGGGCAGGACATTGATGTTAGCTGCGGCGAGAGTCTGTCTTACAACTCTTGCGGTGTGCGGTCGTGCATTATCATGCATTAACTGAAATAAGGGACCGATTTGCACTTGTAGAGGAACGATGACGTCTGATACAATCGTCTCAGCATAAATTTGAGCGTTGAGGTTGCCTCTGATCCAAATCAACTCAGTTCTTCCGCCGATCCAAATACCCGCCCATACCATGATGGTTCCACCACTATAAGGATGGACTTCCTGGCAGGATTTTAATCGCTGTTGGCGTCCAGGGGTTCTCCAGTGTCGTATACGTCTTGTATCCGGTCTCATACCAAAACGAGACTCATCAGAAAAGCACACGAAACGCCATTGTTCTTCTGCCCAATTTCTGTGTTCAAGAGCCCATTGATATCGAATCCTACGATTGTGCATTGCTATAGGTGGTACCCGTAGCGGTCTTCGGGAATGAAGGTTCACTTCATGCAAGCGGTTTCTGACTGTTTGGTCGCTAACTAAGTTCCCTGAAGAGTGATGAAGCCTCACGGCTAACATCATGGCGGTTATTGTTGGAGCTCTTCGAGTTAAGATTTGAATGTATCGGTCTTGTCTCCGTGTGGTGCAGCGATACCGTCCTCCATGGCGCTCAGCCACGGTACCAGTGCTTCGGTATCGTGTCCAAAGTCGACTGATAACACTCTGACTTGTATTCAGAGCTAAAGCCAAAGTACGTTGCCGGGAACCAGCTTCTATCATTCCCACGGCTCTGAGCATTTCTTCCCTGCTTAAATGACGTCGCCGCTCCATAATAACGTTGGTTTTAATCAGTAGTAGGGAAACAGTAGCACTAATAATGTCTTCAATGCGTTGTATGTTTTTATAGGGAAAATATCGACAGCTGATTTTCATCTTTTACTCGAATTTGATTCACAGTTCCTGATTCAAATTATGAAATGCACCAAAAATTATCCATATAAATTTATAAAATCATAAATTTATTACAAAGCCACATCTCAATCTCAAGAAATCCGCATAAAAATGCTTGATCCCTAGACACTTTTGATGTGTGTAGTTTTACGGGTTAATAAAGTATTTTATTTAAAATTCTTTTTTGTAATTTTGAGTTTATTTATTTGACCCTAACTACCGTAAACTACCACCGGTTCCAAAATTGGGAGACCTTTCTGAGAAGAACCGGCGAAACAAACTCAAGAGAGGCTTTCTATCTCCTTCTTATTTTAAATTATGCAAACAAAAAGAACTAATAGTATCTGTTGGTCTTGCAGTGCGTGCTCGGGGTTGGGATTTTATCTCCTGTATAATGGGTTCCCAAGCTGGTGGTATATACCAACCATCTTCCCTATTGAAATTTGCATATTTTTTAATCTCAATAGCCTCGCGCATCATTCGAGGAACAAACCGTTGCTCAGCTGCAAGGATCCGTGGCTTATCAAATCTAATGTAATGGTTTGGTCCCCCTAATGCATGTTCACACACTGCAGACTTATTTTCGCACCTATGTTTCATATCTGCGATATGTTCTTTTACCCGAGTCCCTATACTCCTCTTTGTTTTTCAAAGAGACCTATTAGATCTATTCAGCCATTAGATCATAAAATTTTACTTAATTGTTGCAATTTGATTTTTTATACAGATATGTTCGTTCGCGGGTTCGTACCCCGTGGTATGCTGCACTGATGGGATCACCACCCCGGCACCACCAGTCGCTACTACTTCTCAAAGGTGAGTGTACAAACTAGGGGCGTATTTACAAATACAAATTCTTTATTTGATACAATAATTTCCGATACAGTATTGCGATTGGGAATTTCTTGTTTCTTTCTTCTTTCTTCTTTCTTCTTGGGAAAAAGTAAATATATACTTGTATTAGAAATCCCGGCTCTCCGTGCTAAAAGACATGGTACATTAAATTATTGATCACCTTAATATTTTAATAATAATGAACTCTAAAAGTAGCAAGAAAAAATATTATCATTTTTTTACAATATTTCTTTAAATAAAACTTGTTTTTACGGGTTAATGCACGAAACTTTATTTATTTATTGACGTTTCGCAGCCTTTTCAGGTCTGCATCGTCAGAATAATGATTTTTTTATTTAAACTAGTTTTATTTAATGAGTGATGTGCGTGAAAACCTAAGAAACAAATATATTTCTTTAAGTTGATATGTTTGTCTGTGCTTATGCATGCTTGTATGTGGGTGGATGAGTGTATGAGTGTTTGAGTGTGTGAGTGTATGTGTACGTGTGTGTGTGCGTGCAATTTATTTATTTATTTTAAACTTTATTGACCAAAATACACGAGAATGGTAGAAAAGGCGGACTTAATGCTTATAGTATTATCTCCCAGTCAACCTTTGGGAAAAGAGAAGAACGCGCACGGTGGTATAAAGCTCAAATATACACATAAATATTGACATATAAATAATATTAATAAAAATATATACGAATTAACATAGATACGTATATAAATACATACTACGAAAGGAATATTACATACATACATACCACAATCATATATTATGCCTATATTATATATTTGACGACCTCCGTGGCCGAGTGGTTTGTACGCCTGGTTTCATGGTGTCGCCGACTCGAGAGGTCCCGGGTTCGAATCCCGGTGGGGGCAGATGTTTGCGTGATGAATACGAGCATTTGTACTCCAGTCATGGATGTTTAATATGTATTTCTATATAAATATACTTACATATGTACAGTATATGTATTCTATCAGTTACCCTAGTATCCCATAACACAAGCCTTACAGTGCTTACTTTGGGGCTAGGCGAATTGGTGTGAGTGTTGGAAATATTTATTTTATTTATTTATTTATAAATATACTTAATATACATGTATCAGTATATGTATTATATCCGTTACCCTCGTATGCCATAACACAAGCCTACAGTGCTTAATTTGCACTGTTTTTGTACACATATTTGTTCTTAAATTAGTTTTATTTACAAACATGAACGCTATGAAAGGCATCCCAATTCTCTTATTTAGTAATATTATTAAACTTATTGTATTAAAATAATTTAACTGTATTTTACAAATATATTTGGAATTACAATGAAATATGAATGAAATAATCAAAATTTATCTTCCAGATAATATTTGCAAATTATAATAAGCTTTATTTTAGAAAAGCAATTTTTTTTGTCGTATTCACAACGACGTTTAGTACAGTCAATCTGTCGAAAAAAATATCGTTTCAGTGAAAAAAAAACCTAAAGGGTAAGTCTTGTTTTTTCTGTTCCCAAATGACGTCAGTAAGCCACCTTGGCGATGGGCATGTTCAACTCGTAGGCGTTTTTTGAAAAACTCAAAAAAACCGTCAAAAATTTTTTGAAACGCATTTTTCTTGTTTTGTATACATTTTAGAAACTTTTTTTTTCGACCATAATTGTAGAGGGCGTTGAGCACTACAATTTATGTCATTGTTGCAATCTCGTACAACAAAAAATGCGCATTGTAGGTGACGCTAAAGTCTCAAAAAAGTGTTTTTTCACTTTTTCACCCCGAAATATCATTTTAATGGAAAACTTTAAATGGCAAAGTTGTTTCGTACATAATTACCAACAACTTTTGTATAAACAATTTTTTTGTATTACTTACCGTTTTCAAGTTATAAATTGCGCAGGTATGAAAAATCCAATAGAGCGGTTTTGGGCAGTTCACGTACACATTTGCAATGCACATTTCAATGTACGTTTTACTATTTTTTTTATTTTTTTTCATGATTGAAAAACAAAAAAAATTAAAAAAAGTAGTTTTATTTTTATTTTTTTTCATGATTGAAAAAAAAATAGTAAAAACGTACATTGAAATGTGCACTGCAAATGTGTACTTGAACTTCCCAAAACCGCTCTATTGGATTTTTCATACCTGCGCAATTTATAACTTGAAAACGGTAAGTAATACAAAAAAATTGTTTATACAAAAGTTGTTGGTAATTATGTACGAAACAACTTTGCCATTTAAAGTTTTCCATTAAAATGATATTTTTAGGGCGAAAAAGGGAAAAAACCCTTTTTTGAGACTTTAGCGCCACCTACAATGCGCATTTTTTGTTGTACGAGATTGCAACAATGACATAAATTGTAGTACTCAACGCCCTCTACAATTATGGTCAAAAAAAAAGTTTCTAAATTGCATACAAAACAAGAAAAATGCGTTTCAAAAAATTTTTGACGGTTTTTTTGAGTTTTTCAAAAAACGCCTACGAGTTGAACATGCCCATCTCCAAGGTGGCTTACTGACGTCATTTGGCAACAGAAAAAACAAGACTTACCCTTTAGGTTTTTTTTTCACCACTCAACCTACAGATTGACTGTACTAGTTGGAGGGTTTTTATTGAATAGGGTATTTGACAGTATTAAAAATAATGTGCCAATTGTTAGCATTTGTGTTTAGAATGAATATTGGCAGAGGTTTTTACTATTTTTACAAAAAAAATATTCATTATTTTACTAAAAATCCACGAAAAAGATAATAGTTTTCTTATCTATTGTTACGTGACCCAAAACGCTTGGGATTGGCGGAGCCTAAAATGACGTCACACGCAAGTAAACTTCCGGTTAAAGTGACATTAAATTGTATCTTTTGATAACAGTCGTTTGACGTCACACACTAGTAAGACGCCAAATTGCCCAGAAAACGTTTTCGCGGCAACTTGAAAATGGAGTTTTTGATTTGGTTATTTTTACTGAAATTCACAATAGAATGATGAATATCCACTTTTTACAGACTCCATAAACGCTAGCCAATAACGTGAGATCGTTTTCTAAATCTTGTCAAATACCCTTTTCGGCAAGTAGTTGCAAATTTGGACAGCCCTGTAAAAAGGTCCTTTTCAAAAAAGTCTAGATGTGGTGTGTATGTATACGTATGTACTTTGTGGCTAGGCTAATTGATGTGAGTATTGGAAATACTTATTAATTGATCTATTACAGAATAATCAAGCAACCTATATGCTAATTAACTAAGAAATAAACCCATTAAAAACGAATTTCCTCATAATTACAATAAATTAACAATGAAAAACAGACAAAGAACGTTATTGTATTGAGGAAAACGATAATATTCACAGGAAAAATTCCTACATTTGTTATTATTACTTAAGTATTTACGCACACAAGTTTTTTTTAATTACGACAATGATAAAGACTTTACCTTTGTCGTGTGGTTTCCTTGTAGAATATATCTTAAATATACAATTCTCGTGTCACAATGTTAGTTACCATACTCCTCCAAAACGACCTGACCGATTTTTATGAAATTTGATATGCATACTAGCGGACCCGACAGACGTTGTCCTGTCTAGTATGGTAGCGCCGTCTGTCGGATCCAATGTAAAACATTCCAAAATCAACAACTACTAATAAATTAAAAATTAATTAAAAAAACATTGTCCAGCGGTCAAAATTGTGAATCTAAACCATTCTCAGATCCCCTTGAACACACACAAAAAATTTCATCAAAATCGGTCCAGTCGTTTAAGAGAAGTTCAGTGACATACACACTCACAGAAGAATTATATATATAAAGATTCCGTGGGTCTGAGAATCATCGGCTACTATTTATTTTTCATATCCTTAAGTGATAATGGTTGTCCACCTGTAACGTAGTGTTCTGAAACCTGCTTTTGCGCCTTCGCGCCAAAATTCAAACTATTGGGTATTGTAACGTAGTGTTCTCATATGGGTTAGGAGGAATGTTATTTTGGACAATATTTATTTTTTTATAATGTGGTATTAAAAATACATACAACCCTAAATTTTCTCTTCTACTACCTGCCCCTTTTTTTAAGGCGGTACGAAGTTCGCTGGTTCAGCTAAGTAGTAATATAGATATGTCGTGACCATATCGTAGATTTGATCACTTCATGAAATGCTCGAGAATTTCATGAAGTGGTCACATTTCATGATGTGGCCAACTTAATTTGACCAGATCATTAAATCGTCAACATTTAACGATTTGGTCATCCACATTTAGTATAATTAGGGTGTCCATAAAATATTTATTAAAAATCCAGAATATGTAAGAACTTGTTTATTGTCATTTAAGTCTGAATGACACAAACAAATTTAATCAAGTTTTTGTAACAAAATAAACAAATTAAAGATTTTTTCCTAAATTAAACATCAAACATGTCAAGAACTTACACATTTATATTTAGAAAACTATCAAATATTTAGAACTTTAACTAATAAGGTACTTTGGTACATATTGCAATAGTAGCCTTAACTGTTCTTCCAGGGCCCAAACGGTAATACTTCACACTAGGTTAGGTTAGGTTAGTGTTGTGACCATGTCGCGCGAGCCGAGCGAGCAAAGCGAGCGTGGCGCGGCAGCGGCCGGCGAAGCGCCAGAAAAAAAAACTCTATTAAAGAAACCTTTCTACAAAAAAAAATCAAGTATCACCTCTTGGGCCCTGGAAGTACAGTTTTACAGTATATCTTTGTACGGCATTGATTCTCATCCGCACTTTGTACCTCAACCGCAGTTTCCAAAATGTCATATTTTGACAGCCAGTGTTACTCCATAGATTTATTTTGCGTAGTCACCCTACTCTCCTTAATTTATTTCGTCGAAAACCCTTTTGTTAACTTTCTTCCTCATTAAATAACGAATTATGCACTTTTTCACTGCGAGAAACAACATTGTCGGCAGCGGCCGCCTTATATAAATATATAAGCAAAGCGCTTGCAGCGCCTCTACCGGTAATTAATGTAACTACTTTACAATATGGTCAAATAATTTTTGCCATTTCATGAAGTAGCCACGCGTTTAGTTGGCCATATCGTGAAACGATTGCTCATCATTGATCTGCCCAAACCACATCATGATGTGGCCAATAGATAGTGAAACATTTCATGAAATGCGACCATTTCATGAAATTTTCGAGCATTTCATGAAGTGATCAAATCTATGATATGGCCACGACATATATATAAGGTAACGGTTATCAATTTTATTGGAATAAACATTTTAAAGACTAAAGTAAATTGTGGTCATGCACCACAATTTAAGCGGATCACTTTTAAGGCGCGAGTGCAGTATCTTCCTTTTAGTTTTAAACTTTTCTTTATACATAAATATTTCCAACACTCACACCAATTAGCCTAGCCCCAAAGTAAGCACTATAAGGCTTGTGTTATGGGATACTAGGGTAACGGATAGAATACATATACTGTACATATATAAGTATATTTATATAGAAAATACATATTATTAAACATCCATGACTGGAGTACAAACAAATGCTCGTATTCATCACTCAAACATCTGCCCCCCCCCCCCCCCCGGGATTTGAACCCGGGACCTCTCGAGTCGGCGACACCATGAAACCCGGCGTACAAACCACTCGGCCACGCAGTTATACTATGTAGTGATGAAGCTCGTGATGCATTTCCGTTTCATCTTTCCACAGGGATTTTTCCATTTACACTCCGTCCAAGTTTAAAACTATATTAACTGTGATAATGCTATTATGATAATTCACTGCCGGATTTAGGGGAGGGCAACCGGGGCGAAAGCCCCGGGGCCTCCACAAACCGGGGGCCCCCACAATAGAGACTTCGGAAAAAAAATCGCAATCATCAACAATTTTCCGTTCGTTAACTCTAAGATTTAATTTCAGATAATTCTTGTTTCCATTTATATTTATATGTGTTTGTTCAATACTAAGGGAATCTACTTGGTTCACAATAAATTATTTATTGAAAAACTCGACTGAAAAAAAATTGTTTACTTTATTTGGAAAATAATTTGGGGTGAGGGGGTCATGGGGGCCTCCGCTCCTCTGTTGCCCCGAGGCCTCTGGACCTCTAAATCCGGCCCTGTGATAATGAGGGCTATCGCGTATGAATCCGCCGCTAGAAGCGCTAGTGTAGTGTGAGGTCTCCGAAATGTCAAATGTTATTGCTTGTTGGTTGACTACGCGGGTTTATTTCTAATTAAAATAATGTTGTGAATAATTGGTAACAATTCGGCTTAATTATGGCAAATATGAGATAAGTGGCAATGAATGTCAGTTATTAAAAATTTGAGCTTAGAAAAATGATTATGTTCCCATTTTTTCCGAATAAAACGGAACTGGGCGTCACTGTGGCATGGCCTATTATGTTTAGGATATGGTTCTTTTGTGTTAAAATACGATCTAAATGTAACCTTTGATTTCATGTGCGTATTAATAAACTTTAAAAGTTACAATTTAGGACCTCACTCAACAGTGGCGCCATCTGGTGAGACAGAAAACGGTAGCCCTCATTAATAGCCCATGCTGTGTTCTTGTTTCAGTCCAACTAAACCCGTAACGGACGGTATCCCGGTGTATGACTACGTGAACAATGACGGTTCGTCTGTGGACACGTGCGAGCCCCTGGCTGCGTCTCTTACCGCCGCGAAGACCGGAAAGAAGGCATGGGATAGTAAGTAATTATCATCATCTGCTTAATGTCCCCACTGCTGGGGCACAGGCCTTCTCTATGGATGGAATAGGGAGATTGGGCAATGACGCACCACGCGTGCCCGGTGCAGATTGACGAATGCAGATGCAGCCGGGTCCAACGGCTTAACGTGCCTTCCGAAGCACGGAGGAGCTAGAGATAGAAGATTTTTGGTCACCCATCCAATGACCGACCACTGCGAAAGTTGCTTAACTTCAACGATCGCAGCCGAACGCGCTAACCACCTGCGCCATCGATCTTCCGAATCACGGACGAGCTAGAGATAGTAGATTTTTGGTCACCCATCCCATGACCGACCACTGCGAAAGTTGCTTAACTTCAACGATCGCAGCCGAACGCGCTAACCACCTGCGCCATCGATCTTCCGAATCACGGAGGAGCTAGAGATAGTAGATTTTTGGTCACCCATCCAATGAGCGACCTCTGCGAAAGTTGCTTAACTTCAACGATCGCAGCCGAACGCCCTAACCACCCGCACCATCGAGCTCCTCTTCTCATCCCTATCTAAGTGAAATTAGCGGCAGGCGGTCGTCAAATCGAGTCGTTTTACATAAACAAAATATGCATGGGCAGAAGTTAGTTATAAATGGCAATGTCGTTATATAAAGATGACTTCGCTGAGGATTCTGATCTGCGATGTGATCTCTGTCAGTGTTGTCAACTCGGATTTTGTAAAAGGCGTAGGCCCGATGAGAAAATTACGTAGATTTAGTAATTTTTGCATATGTAAAGTACGTAGATCTACGTATTTTTTTCTGAGTGAAATTAAGAAGTCAGGTGAAACCGAATGAAACGAGTATTTTGTTATACAATTTCTTTAAAAACGGGAGATAGAACAAAGAGTTCTTGGAGAAATCGCTGCATTGGAAGCATTTACGACGCTGCTGTAGACCATGACCATGTGGTATTATAAAACCATGATTTCTAATAGATCACATGAAAAATAGAGTTAGTTATCATAATGCACTTGGTAAAAGACTCTAGAAAGTTGTGGTTAAAATTGTCAAGAGAAATAATACATACACTTATACATGAACACATGTTAAAAACTTACTAATTCCTGTAACTTTATCGACTGACAGTCATTTCTTTGTGCAAACATCAATTCGATGTAAGTACTCATTGAATAATATTTAAAGTTTAAAAGTTCAATTTTTAAGGTAACGAATGTACCTACTAAGTCAAAGAGTTTTGTCGTTTCTCCTTTCACAAATCCTGCGTCCAGCATTAATTTAGTCAACAAAACGATTGACGGGAACCTTTTCTACAAGATACAAGAGTTTTTAGATACATCTTTATAATAAATAAACATTTGTATAGTTTTTAAGCAAAGTAACAGAAAATATTCTTCTTTATTCTAGTGAATTAAGTTATTTTACAAATTTGAAAAAATTGAAGAAAGTACGTAGATTCTGGGACTAAAGTTAGTAGGTTTGCAGAAAAGGCCTAAAATACGTAGATCTACATAAAAAGACGTAGAGTTGGCAACACTGATCTCTGTCCATATCTGAGAGGCTCTGGACGCCATCCGTTTTGGTTTCTCACACAATTTTGTTGTTTGTTTACGTATTATCATACTCTACCCGCCCCAGAATGCGTGGACTACCAACAGAGCCTCGTATACTCGTGCGACAAGGAGGTGGGTCTCGCGGCGGGGGGCTCCGTGTCTCGCTCCTACCACTGCCACCACAACACCGACGACCTCATCGTTGGCGGCGAGGATGCGAGCCAATATGAGTTCCCGCATATGGTGAGTTTAAAAATTTATTTATTCAAGTTAAACATGCAGGCTTACAGAATAATCCAAAACGCCGGCAAGTCATACACAAAAAATATTAGGGTGTACAGAATGCAAAGTTTGAGTCTTTGTCATAGGATTTTTTTACACCCTGTATGTATGTACATGATTTGTACCCCGGGTTTCATGGTGTCGCCGACTCGCGAGGTCCCGGGCTCGAATCCCGGTGGGGGCAGATGTTTGTGTGATGAATACGAGCATTTTACTCCAGTCATGGATGTTTGATATGTATTTCTATAAATAAAATATACTTATAATAATAAGAATGTTTTATTTCAGATACTAGATCCATAGAAATGTTAGTAACAATCAAATCTTAAAAACCTAACCTAACCTAACCTTATATAAGTACAGTATATGTATTCTATCCGTTAACCTAGTATCCCATAACACAAGCCTTATAATGCTTACTCTGGGGCTAGGCTAATTGGTGTGAGTGTTGGAAATATTTATTTATTATTTAATTGTTTTTACTATACATATAGATAAACAAAAACATATTGAATTTGAATGAATATGAATTTGATGGTGTACCTTTCTCTCATCAGGTATTGCTCGGATACGGCGATCAGTTGGCGAATGTACAGTGGTTGTGTGGCGGTTCCTTGATCAGCGATAAATTCGTTCTCACCGCCGGACACTGCACCGTCAGCAGAGACTTGTAAGTTTAGGTAACTTTATAACAAAACTAGTAGATTGACCTCGTCAGCGTCTGCGTGGAATAATTGTTGCGTATACGCACTTCAATTCCCCTTTTGACTGCCTAAGAGGTTGATTTTTGGGACAAAAACTATCCTACTTATGTCCTTTCCCGGGACTTAAAACTATCCCTTTACCATATAGCACGTCACAAACAATAGGGTATTAAGTCGGCAAAACCATTTATTTTTTTATCTGCGTTTCAAAAACTACATTTTTTCTCTATAAACTGGTAAGATAGTTGTATTTTAATTCGAAATAGTTTTTCAATTATATAGCAACACATGTCGTCAATTTCTAGGCAAAATTTATGATTGTGAGTATTCTAAACAGTATTAAGTTAAGTTAGTACCCTAAGTTTTAAGTTTTATTTCAAACTAGTGGCCCGTCCTCGCTTCGCTTCGGGGTAGATTTGATCAAAATCCTTTCTTAGCGGTTGCCTACGTCATAATATCTACCTGCATGCCAAATTTCAGCCCGATCCGTCCAGTGGTTTGGGCTGTGTGTTGATAGATCACTATGTCAGGCAGTCACCTTTGAGTTTAATATATATAGATAATACCCTCTTGGCCTATTAAATTTTATATAATATGTTATTTTCAGCGAAATTATTTTAAAATGATACTTGTTGTAATTTTAACATGAGCCATTTGAACTTCTTATAGGGTATTCTCTTTACCCAGTCACATAAAAGTACTTTTAAAATAAAATCTACTATTGATACACTAACTAAACTTACTCAACACAAAGAAGGATAATGTACGTTTAAATCAAGGTATCATTTTAAACATTTGAACAGGTAGTTCCGCTTCTATGATTTTTTAAAACTTTAAAACGCGATGTCTCAAAGCACTCTTTTTGAAGATAATACCCTTTTGTTAGTGACGTGCGATATGTGTATTTATAAAATGTGAAATCACGTCAATAAGAATATAACTACTATGAATTTTCCAGTGGTCCAATAACCTTCGCCCTGATGGGAGCATTGAAGCGCTCCCAGGCCATAGACTCCTCCAAGCTCAGGAGAGTGAAGCGAATAATCAGCCACCCTCAGTACGCGCCCCCGACCCGGTACCATGACATAGCCCTGCTGGAACTCGACGCACCGTAAGTATATTATATTTAAGCTATTGTATAGCTTTTATCGCGGGCTTTGAGCGCGGCGACCGAATCAAGAAATTCCGTAACGAAAAAAAAACATTACGAGAATGCATAATACCAATAGACCACAATTTTCGTCATTTCAGTATCGATTTTTTGGACAAAAGATGGTAAACTGTGGAGCTTTTGGAAGTTTTTTGGCGCCGGGCAATGCTGTTGTTTGCTGTACTTGCCCAATTAAACATCATAAGGCCTGCCTCGCAATCTATTAATATCAAAGAAAAAAAATACTGCATAAATAAAATAAATAAATAATTTGTATAAGTTGATAAAAAATGCTAGGCAATAGCTTTACCGCGGCAGTCCCCGAGTGCCACACGTATTTATTTATTTCTAGTGTTGCACCGACATATACAAGGGGAGGTCGAATAAGAAGGAAGGAGATTGAAATTAAATACCAAACTATTTTTCCTTTTCAATATCTTCTCCCTTTAAGAGCCCTTTCACATTTTTTGCAAAATATCGTAATTTTTGAGCGCCTCGTTTACCCCCTTAGAAAAGATTTTGACTATTTCCAATAGAAGTAAACAGTAGATTTATTCTTCCTATTGTAAGTTAATGTAGAATATTTGCAAATACTATTTTTCTTATTTTGTACTGATCGTTCTACCGCAGCTAGTTTACGGAAAGAAACGATAATATGCACAACTTCAAACGCCTCAATCTCTCAATAATGTTCAATGAATTAGATCAAATTAATTACAACGACATCGGAAATATGTTTTTGTTATAACATAATGTATTAGAATTGTGATTTTCCATCTCATTAATTATTATCAAAAAAATAACATCTAACCTCCGTGAGTTATCCCAAAAAGTAATGCAGGTTTACCTCGTATTATTGATATTGAATTAAATAGAATTACTATCAAAAAATTCCACATAACTAATCTACCATCATTGAACTACTGCTATATGTATATATTTTTATAATTAGTTCATTAATAATTATTTTATAAGACTCGAAACATCACCCGTAAAATGCATAATCTACCTACGCGCCGATCAGTACGGCAGCGGCGCAAATTTGTAAAAGGGCTCTTAAAATGACAATACAAACACAGATTCATTTAATTAATTAGATATTGGTGTCAATTCTAGCATGATTCTCTAAACCTAAACTTAAATTTGACAGCAGTATATCCTTGTCATTCTCTATACAGAATGAAAAGGAGAGACTGATTTTAAATTTAATTTTAAGTTTAGAGAATCACGCCAGAATTGGCACCATTATACTTGTTATAGGGTGACATTGAGCCAGTACCTGGTCCCTGCTTGTATTCATGTGCCTGACCCGGCTGATAATCTGACGCGTGCCTCCGCGACCGGCTGGGGACTCACCGAACACCGCGGGGCCAACTCCGATATTTTGCAGAAGGTCAGCTTATACTATACTGCAGCGCTAGTGTAAGGCCTAATTCGTAAGTGTCGCCGCACACGGGCCACACGCCACAGCCACAAACGCCGCCACGAGAAGCTAGAAGCGGCTACTAAAGTGACTGAAGCGCGCGACAGCGGCCGACTAAGGTAAGGGAGAGAGGGGTGGGGAATCGCGCGAGTGACGTGTGGCGGCGTTTTGTATCGGCGCATTAAGTGGCCGGTGCGGGCCACAAGAAGCGAGCAACGACGATTTGTAGCGTGTGGCGAATCCATATAAAATGTATGAAAACTACAAGAAATATGCCGGTGGCGGCGTTTTATGGTCAGTGGCCCATGTGCAGCTACACTAAGCCTTCTTACATTTAATAGAAAATGATAATTAAGGAGCGCCTGTTCAAAGGGGACTGTTTCCGTATTTACTGACTTATAGTTTTTTTTTCGTGAACTGGTATTCTAAGATCCTATCACAACCTGTGTTTAGTCTTCATCGAAATTGATTATTTCGCCTTCAAATTTGAACTTAAATTCGCGGTTCTATTAAAACGGTGCTATTTTTAACTCATTTAAAAGTTTTTGTTCGACAAATAATATTTTTTTATCAAACTTTTCGAAGCTTTTATTTAATTGGAAGCTACATTTATGCCAAATATATAAAACAACTTGGCATTGATTAATTTTCATTAGTTTTTAAAATAAAAAAAGAACATGCATTATGGCAAACTATCAAATTTGCATGTTTTTTTTATGTTAAAAATTAATGACAAGTTGTCGATGCCAAATATAATATTAATTTTCACATATCTTCGAATTAAAAAAAAAACAACTTCAAAAAGTTTATTTGTTGATGCTATTTATTATCATTCCTGATCAAAAGATCCTATTTTCCGAATATCCGATCAAAAAGTGCTATTTCCATTTTTCATTACTTAATTTTGTGCTTTTTAATAATAACAATAATAAATTAATTTACCCTAAAAATAAGTGGCCTCCTCATGAATTACCTGAATAAAAAAAAATACACTTCACATACATCATCAAATCTGCATAGGTTTTTTTTTAATTTTGTCAACATTTACTTAACATGGAAATAGCCCCTTTAAAACAGATGTTCCTCAATTGATACTGATATGTTAGAACGATTGGGTGATGATAAATAAAACCGACTCGTTAAGCCTTTTTCACATTATAAGACTCGGACACGAGACAAGAAGAATGTCTTGTCTAGTTTAACGTACCTATATAGTGCGATTCAAATAAGAATAGGAAAGCCAATGACCTCTATCTGTCAAATGTCGCTTGAAAAGTACGGTTTGCAAAAAAAAACTTGGAACACTTTTTTAGCACTCCGCTAATTCAAGAATAAAAACCAAACATTATATGATAATTAATATGGGTTGATTTTTTTTCATTTATTGAGCTTTGGCTATGAATGTTTGTTAACCTAAATCGTCAACCAAATGTCATTTTAAGTTGTGTTCAGAAACTCGATTTGAAACTTTCGTTTACCTAGTAATAGTGCATGATTATTCATAACTACTCCGGTGGTAATGCAGAGATGAGCGGAATTGAAGTGCTCAATTCTGATTAGTTTTTTCTCACGCAGTCTTAATAATGAAATACTATTAAAATCGGTTCTGTTCTTTCTCAATCTCAGTAAATAAGTTTTATTTAAAAAATCTGATGCTATTTCTCACTTAATCTTAGTAAATAAGTTTTATCAAATAAAAACATTTTTTGCTCACTCTACCTATTTCGTTTGAATTGACAGCTATGACGTCACAATATGGCGTCCAGTCGGTCCTATTCTTAGCTGAATCGCATTATAAATGCTTAAACAAAAATATAAATTTATATTTATACAGGGTGTTACAAAAATACCAATAAAGCTTGAAGGGGGGGAAAAGTACATCATATAAGGAGTCTTCTCTAATTTTCTTAAAATTTTTGCAATAAGTTTTAATTTTAATAACAACAGTTGTTTTTAATGATTAAAAAAATAACGATATTTTTAAGACAGGTCACTAGTTCGAGGAAATAATAAATAACTGTTTTTTAAAAAGGTTAAAACTTCATTCAAATATTTTAAGAAAATTTTAAGTTTTATTTGTATTTTTGTAACACCCTGTATAACTAAACGATTCTTAACGATTTGACAGGTGACTTTAAACAAGTTTGTAACTCAAGAGTGCAGCGAGAAGTTCCCCGTGCACCGCCACATGAAACAGGGCTTCGACCAGGACACGCAGACATGCTACGGAGACAAGAACCAGTCCAAGGATACTTGCCAAGTGAGTTGTTGTTGAGGAGCTCGATGACGCAGTTGGTTAGCTGGTTCGGCTGAAGTTAAGCAACTTTCGCAGTGGTCGGTCATTGGATGGGTGACCAAAAATCTTCTATCTCGAGTACCTTCGTGTTTCGAAAGGTACGTTAAGTAGTTGGTCCCGGCTGCATCTGCAGTCGTTAGCATCCGCCATTCCGTACTAGGCCCGCGTGGTAGGTCATAGCCCAATCTCCCTATTCCATCCATAGGGAAGGCCGTTATCACCCACCAATCGGCACTGGGTCCATTGTCACCCTCCAATCCGCACTGGGTCCATTATCCCCCAACAATCCGCGCTGGGGCCGTAATCACCCACCAAGCACTAGATTCATGTATTTTGTGACGGGTATTGTTCATTGTTTACCGATGAGTCACCGATGACACTAATCGTAACGCATTCCCCAGTTTATCCCCAAAGTCAAGCGTGCCTAAAGAAGTTTTACTTAAAAATTGTATTTAGGATAATACTTATATGTTTTCAGGGCGACAGCGGCGGCCCCCTCCAGATCAAGAACAAAAAAATCAAATGCATGTACACAATAGTGGGCGTCACTTCATTCGGTAAAGCTTGCGGGATGGTCGGAGACCCGGGTATATACACTCGGGTGTCGCACTACGTAGACTGGATAGAGAAGGAAGTGTGGCCCTGATGGGTTAATAGTGATGTGCGGCGAGAGACGTCGATAAGGTGGCGGAATCAGTCTGACTATCGATAGAAGTGATTTTGTCGATTTGGATTTTAGAACCCTTTTATTACAAAGTTAAGCCGGCCTTTTAAAAGAGATTTAGCAACAGAGTTTCTGATTCAGTTTTTTTTGTATAAATTGGCAAATCACAGTATTCATCGTGGTTCAGTTATGATAGTAATAAAGTTGAGCGTTTGCTGTTAAAATATTTAATAGTGATTTTGAGTGTCTATTTTTGTCTAGCAATTATTTAGCAACCGGTAGCAAATCAGTAATAAGTTATATAATAATTATTTTATGGTCGTCTCATTGTCATTTTTCTTAAGATTTGAAAAGGGTCATAGAAAAGAAAAATCATTTATCGATATTAAGACTGGTTTCTGAGGTCAACTCTAGTGATAGTTCAACATTAAATGACTGCGTTTTCTATTTTTCATTACCGAATAAATGAGATTCTAAGAAACTGTGTTTTATTTCTGTTAACGTGATTAACAACTGCTGATTAGCTAATTATATTACCAAAATCAAGAGGTTAGATTTTAAATGAAATAACCCGACTACATATTTTTATAAATACGTTTTTATTCCATAATCATCGATTTACATCAAAATTAGTACATTAACATTATATTAGCGTTTCACATGCCAGCATTAAACTAATTTTATCGTTAAAATCTATGCAACGTGACACCACTACGGTACAAATAAATCGATATAAATATTACAAACTAACAATTTTTTGTTCCTTTTCCTGATTTTCTATAGACATACAACATCTCGCAAGTAGAAAGATATTATCCTTTTTAATTTAATACACAAAATAAAGTAGATAGTTACAGAATATTTATAACTCGTTTTATTAAAGAAAAGAGTCTAGAATGCAGACGCAAGACATTCTGTCCCTCTCGCTCACGCTATCCTAAGTAACGTGCGATAAAGACAGAATCTCTTGCATCGGCATTCTTTAGTGACACAAATTATAACCATATTTTTATCGGTAATAGAACCATCGATAATCAAATAGTCGAGTAAATCTTGTTATATATTTAGTATTAATTTCACCATATTTACTACAAAGTACAAGGTATTAGAAACAAATAGTACAGGTTAGATTTTATGGACAATTCATAATGGCGCATTGAAGAGAATTTCAGAAATAGCAACATGGCAAAATCATCTTTATCTTCGCAACGTAATGCACATATTCCATCCGAGCTTATAATCAGCAGAATGGGGAAGAAAACTGCCAATTTATCCCGCCAGAGGCGCAGGTGTCTCCTTTTTTTCTTGGAAAATGGCGGTGCACTTTTGTGGATTTCGCCAGACTCGAGTGATTCGACTTGGCTGTTCAGTAGGAATTGACTTTGCTTTTTTTTAAGTCTGTTGTGTAAGCAAAATATGTGTACGAAGGAAATAATGTACTTGAATTTTTGTAATTGGATATCTGTTGTCTTATCTAGAGCAGGCGTGGAATGGCCAATAACAACAAATCGAGACAGCTGTCAAAGTCACAAGGAAAACTGTCAAATTCTGATAGACTTGGGGGCTAGAATGTCAAATTTCAGACATAACTTTCATTCAGTGTACCACTTGTTTACTTCAAATATTATATTCCTCATTGTGTTTAGTTTTTGCTCTGTAAATATTTTTCTAAGTAAATTCTAACATTTGACTAGAGTTTTATTCTGTCGCCAACAATTGGTCCTTCGAGCCGGATTTTATTGACGCAAAAGCGCCATCTGTAATGAGCTTTGCGTTTTATTTTTTTAACTCAGAAGGATTGTTGTGTACATTACGTTGCGGAGATAACGGTGAATTTGCATTGGTTAGCTCCTGAAATTAGTTTCGTTTGACCATTACGTAAATTAAATTAAATAAAAAAAACTGTTATTTTTACTATGCAAAACGAAACGTCCACAACAGTTCACTATATCTAAAGAGATTACGACATATATGTACAACATATATACTATGTTAAATAGACTGACATATTATGTATATGTATTTTTTTTTATCATAATTGTTCTACTGTTAATTTTATATATCTATTATATATCTTATATGTAATTAAAACCCAATTATCACCAGTAGGGTAGGTCTATTAGAGATTAATGGCCAGATTTGTTTTAGAAAAACTAAAAACTGTTGCCGAGTCATTAAACTGTGATAAACCTATCGTTGCCTGTGATAAGATTGGGGCAGCTGAATGCCTATCCTTAAATATACATAATTATACAACTATTAGTTGCCTAAGATTGATGCATTTTAGAATCTAAATCCTTTTTTTTATCGTCTAGGTAGACAGATTTTAATATTTTTTCCGTAATGGAATTAGAACTCGGAAACATTTAAGCATTAGGACCTTCAAAGTCAAACACATTTCTTTATTAATATTGGAAGCATAAAACAACTATTTTGAATCGTCCAATTTTTTTTTTAAAGTGAAACTTCTTTTTGAACGGCTTGTAAATGGAAAAGATGAAATGGGAATGCGTCACGAGCGTTACACGACTACGATTATTACATCACACGATTATATATACAGGGTGTTACAGAATTCCGAAATAAAATTTGAGCGGGGCGCAGGGGCGCCTGGGGGAGAGAGGGGGGTCTGTTTAGGTAGTAGTAATCGTACACATTTATAGGGTTGTCATAGGCAGGTGTAAAACGATATTTTTATTAATTTAATTAGAAAATAAAAGTGGTCTGAAAGGCGTCAGACTTTCGTAGGTAATTCTATACAAGGAACACAACCAAACCCTAAAGTTTTATTTCGGACTTTTGTCACACCCTGTATATATATATTTATATTTATGTGTGGCTGTGTGAGCATGAAAGTTGGAGAGTAACTCGGCGAAGGCTGAAACGCTACGAGCGTCACATGCGACAATATATATATATATATATATACACAGTGCCGGCTTTGACCTATTGGAGGCCATGGGCATATTAGGATAATGGGGCCCCTATGACCCCCGTTTGATGATTTAACAGGAACTAGGGACTATGTATTTGATCTGAGGGCGCCCCTATCGTTCGCGGGGCCCTGGGCGCTAGCCCAAAGTGCCCACTGGGAAAGAGGGGTCTGTATATACACATATATATGAGTGATGCGTGCGCTGCTCCATACCAATTCATGAAATTTATGAAATTATATTCATAAATTGTGATTCCAATGTAAAAATAATAGTACTTCTTTCATAGGTCCATATCTATTTGTATACCTTAATTAAGTTGGAAATGTAGTGATACTAACAAAATTTTATATACCATGTATACTAACCTATGTTTCACAAATAAAATTCTGATTCTGATTCTGATACCCCAATGCCTTACGCACCGCCTTATGTTGAATTTAGTTATTCGAATTCATATTTAGTTTGTTTTGTGAAAAGAAATTTCACTTCAGATGTGTACTCCGTGCACACAATTTGTTTTTCACTACCAAGTCTTGGTAATTTAAAAGTACATGAATATAAACAAAGATCAAGTTACGCCTTAGTAGTGGACTAGACATAAAACATTTTTGTGTTTTATTAAGATTCGATTCATAAAGATGCATCATTTATTCAAAACTGGCATTTCACATGAAATTTTGTAATTTGACAGCAGTATGGCCTTACCACCCTTTCTATATGAAAAGGAGACCCTGATGTTAAACTTCACAAGTAGCAAACACAAATAGCGAATAGCCATGTGAAGTGCCAGTATACCAAATAACTACACAAATCAACGTTCTTCAGAACATCGATACTTAAAACATTTTTTTTTTCACTTATAAAGTTTTTTTTTTTTTTGCAATTATCTCTCTATCAAATACAAATAAAAACTATAATGTATATGCTTTAAAAGCCGCACTGACACACGTCAATTAAATTTTATCTTTGATTAAAGTGGATGCACTGCGGTAGTAAATATAATAATAATAAATAAATATTTCCAACACACACCAATTAGCCTAGCCCCAAAGTAAGCACTGTAAGGCTTGTGTTATGGGATGCTAAGGTAACGGATAGAATACATATTCTGTACATATATACGTACATTTATATAGAAATACATATTAAACATCCATGACTGGAGTACAAACGCTCGTATTCATCACACAAACATCTGCCCCCACTGGGATTCCAACCCGGCACTTCTCGAGTCGGCGACATCTTGAAACCCGGCGTACAAACCACTCGGCCACGGAGGATATAACTAGACAACAGGTCACTTTGAAAAGCATAAAATTTATTGACGTTTAAGAGTACGGCTTTCAACACTAATGTAACATCTAAGCTATATATCAACTAGAAATCTGTTCGTCGGTTATTTAAAACGATAAATTACACAGTACAGCTTTACAATAAGTAACTTGAGACAGTAAAGACCATAGGACAAGATAATAGCCAATCAAACAAAGTGACGTCAAACAATCGAACCAATCGGCGCTCACACCGGAGAGCAACGACTAGTGTTGCCGATCGATAGTCGACTATCGATGATTAATCGATAATCTATCGATAGCCAACCAATCGTATCGATCGATACAGAAGAAGAATAGTACAGAAAAAGCCAATACTATCGGATGAGTTAAATACTATCGATAGCATTGTAGTTCGTTATTAACAAACTATCGATAGTATCGATTTTATTTGCAAACATTCTATCAATAGTTTAACAATTTGCAATAGTATTGTTTCCAATTTTCAGGTATTATAGTCAATCACAAACTTGGGTCTAAAACAATCGCTAGTTTATTATACTATCGATAGTATTGTTGCAGATAAAATCAACAGTATCGATACTATCAATAGTTTGTTATTAACTACATCAGTATCGATAGTATTTATAGTATTGCACTCATTCGATAGTATTGCCTTGTTCTGAGCTATCAATAGTTTCGATCCTATCGGTTTTATCGATTCTATCGATAGGCCTATCGATAGGGTACATGATTTTCTATGTAAACTGTCGATAGTTTTAATATCGATAGTTCGGCAACACTAGCAACGACGCAATCAGAACCAAGTTTTGGTCAAGTTATGAGCATTAGCTCACACATTACTGCAACGCACCTGCCCCGCAAAACATTGCCCTTCTAATCTCTATTTTGTGTTCTGTGACCCACTGCGCCTTATTCCAAAATGTACACTAAAGTTAGATTTGGTTTAAACTTAACACTTGATTCCTTGAGGAGCTCGATGGCGCAAGTGGTGAGCGCGTTCGGCTGCGATCGTTGAAGTTAAGCAACTTTCGCAGTGGTCGGTCATTGGATGGGTGACCAAAAATCTTCTATCTCGAGCTCCTCCGTGCTTCGGAAGGCACGTGAAGCCGTCGGTCCCGGCACAATCTCCCTATTCCAACCATAGGGAAGGCCTGTGCCCCAGCAGTGGGCACATTAATAGGCTGGTGATGATGCTGTGATAGAACCTAACACTGTCTCTGTCTTTTTTTAACAAATAAAGCATCATTTTTAAACCGGGTATAACTTTTTGCAATAAGGCAGAATGAGTCTTATGTGTTATTTGGATGAATTAATAATAAGATTATATGCAATACAGCCCTTTCAAGTAACTTATTGAAAAGCTTACCACTGCTTTTTTGTTATCTACATTAAAGATACGTAAAATTTTAAGCATAATAATTATTAAACAATCTCAAAACTAACATAATATAATATTTGTTAATACATTTTTCTCATTACCGCAACAGCTCAAAGATTTTTAGATAAAACATTAAAGATTAAATTCTAAGAACAGTTATCCTTAGCACGAACCAATTAAATATTGAATTCAAAGTTTGCGAGTGCGAAATTACAACGCAAAAATCTTGTATGGAAACTCGAACAGCAGCGCCACAACGGACGTAACGAGAACTAAATAATCTTCAACTATTCGAATTCGATAAATGGTTCGTTCTAAGGGTGCTGTTGTAAGTTCATCTTCTGCGCAGTAAAATATAATATTATTGTCAGAATCAGACCTGAACCTGGTACTTGGAAGTTAAACAATTTTCGCAATGGTCGGTCAATGGATGGGTGACCGAAAATTAAAATTAAACAGAGGTCCATAGGCAAGGCCTGTGCCCCATCAGTGGGGACATTAATGGGCTAATGATGATATAAATGAGGTTAACTCGTTGACATCTATGTATTAGACAGAAATCAAAACGATTTTTCCATTTTTTATGTTATTAATAGGGTATTTGACAAGTTTTAGAAAACGATCTCACGTTATTGACTAATGTTTATTGAGTCCATAAAAAAGTGGATATTCATCATTATGTTGTGTATTTCGGTAAAAAAACCAAATCCAAAAACTCCATTTTCAAGTTGCCGCGAAAAACGTATCTCTGGACAATATGGCGTCTCACTGGTGTGTGACGTCACACGACTGTCATTAAAACGTCAAACTATACAATCAAATGTCACTCACCATTTATAGTCATTTTAGGCTCCACCAATCCCAAGCGTTTTGGGTCACGTGACAATAGACAAGAAAACTATTAACTTTTATCGTGGGTTTTTAGTAAAATTATGAATATTTTTTTGTGTTAAAATAGTAAAAACTCTGGCGAATATTCATTCTATATACAGATGCTAGCAATTGACACTTTATTTTTGATACTGTCAAATACCCTATTGCTAGCCTGTTTATCAATAATCGAGGATTAAGCTAAGAATAGTTACGCCGTGTTTTATTCATATCACTCAAATGCCTTTTATCATTCGATGAACTAAGACTAAACATGGAGTAACTAATCCAAGCTTATTCTTTGTTTATAAATAAGGGGGACTATGCTTAAATCGAAAAAAAATACTAGAAACAATTCCACGCGGACCAGGCAGCAGACGGGACTCGAACCAGCACCCTTCGCTATCCGGGCGAATGCACTAATCGTTATGCTAATGCGACCCTGATGGCCGTGTCGAATTTTCTCTAGCATTTCTCAGGCTGCTAGGCAGCGCCATCTCTTCGTATTGCAGGTAACCCACAATGTCAAATGAATAGGGATGATGACTAATTTTTTTTCTTCGTTATCAGGTAGATTATCAAAAAGTATTGGACACGTATTTTTTTCTTTTTTCACATAATATAAACATTGTAGAGATATTGAAAAGTCGCATGACGTCACGTTTTGGTACACTTTTAAGTGAAAATTCACTCAAAAGTGACGTCACGAGCCCCTACTCCCAAACTTTGACGCGCTATAACTTTGTCATTTTTCGGTTGATTGCCCAAAGAAAAAATACGTGTCCATTATTTTTTGATCATCTAACTGACGGACTAAATAGAATTTCGTTTACTGTACCCCGTCATCACCCCTATTATGAAAAGATTTCTTTCACATAACAAATTGCGATTGAAAGTAGCAGAAAGTCACTATACAAAGTATGAAAGTTAGATTCAAAGATTTAGATTCAATACAATTAACGTATAGACGAGCTGAGAAAATGGAGCCACGGTTTATACAATACTCCGACATAGCAATTATATAACATTATTTAACAATTATTAGGTGCCATAAACTCATACCCGCTTACTAATAAAGAAGGAGTAAGCTTAGATTAGTTACGCCGTGTTTTGTTCACGTCACTCTAATGTCATTTGTCATTATTGAAAGAAAAATGGCATTTGAGGTCAACGATATTAGCTATATTGCTAACAGCGCATTCAGAATTGCGCGTAGAGTCAAAAGAATAAGTTCTACATTGTTCCGCATATAGCAATCATCATCATCATCATCAGCCTATTAATGTCCTCACTGCTGGGGCACTGGCCTTCCCTATGGATGGAATAGGGAGATTGGGCCATGACCCACCACGCGGGCCCAGTGCGGATTGGTGAGTGCTAACGACTGCAAATGCAGCCGGGACCAACATGGCCCAATCTCCCTATTCCATCCATAGGGAAGGCCTGTGCCCCAGCAGTGGGGACATTAATAGGCTGATGATGATGATGATGAATTACCAAGTGAAGTGCCGACATAATATCTCTTATCTATTAGACAAGTCCGTCCGTCCGTCCGTGGTGCTGTTTCAGCGGCCAAACCGTAAGAGATAGATAAAGAGAATGTTTAAGTTATAAGTTAAGAATAGTCTGATAAGACTACAAACCGGATGTGAGTAACGTAGCACTTCCGGTTTTCGAGAAATCACGTGATTTCTATTTCAAACGAAACCACACAAAATCTCCGAAGTTCTCAATTAATTAAATACTTTTTTTTTTTTTGGTGAACATTTGGTTCACAGGTTTGCTAGTTAGTTATATTAAACAATTTCGGTTCGTTAATTTATAAAAGTTATACAAATGCTATGTCTGGGAGCTCTCTTACACAATATAACACTAATTACTAATTAAATATGTACTATTTCAATGAAACTAAATCTAAAAACATATGGTAGTCCCATCGCACTCTTCCAAAACCCTTTAATTTCGAGCACTGTAGCACAATCTTAACACTTATTTGAGGTGGAAATAGAGTTCAATTTCGCTTCACACAACCTAAGGGTTAATGTGAATGCAATAGGATGCATTTTGAACTCAAAAGCCAAGCACACAAGGTGGTGTTTCCGTCGTTTCGAATGCGTTACAGTACCTGTAAATGAGAAAATTATGTTTATTTAAAAAAATTCATTTGCAAGCACAAATTTTGCACAAATAAATGTCTTTTGCCAGAACCTAGATCCACGCTGTCTACAACAGCAGTGGTCGAAAATTCTTTCACCAAATGCATTGCATTGAAATTACTAGAAAACCACTGGACAGATTTTCGAAATTCTTTCACCATAGCAGCTACATTATCGGGCTATACAGGGTGGTCCAACTAGTGACGTCAACAAATTTTTTTTAGATTCCTCGCACCTGGGGTTATCCGAAAATACCCCATGTATGAATAATATCTATATGGATTCACGTGGGTGGATAGGGATATCTAAAGACGGAGTGAACCAGCAGCCAAGTCCACTCCGTGGTCGAGAATTCTTTCACCAGTTTGCATCGACATAACTCGAAAACTATTAGGCCGATTTACGAAATTCTTTCATCATGAGAAAGCTACATTATCGCCAAATATTTTCAACCTTATATCTTTATGTTAGGATTCACGTGGGTGGATACAGAGCGACATCTACAGACGGGGCGGCCTAGCAGCAAAATCCACGCCGAGGTCGAAATTCTTTCATCAAAGTTTAAATCGAAATATCTCGAAATCTACTGGACCAATTTTCGAAATTCCTTCACCATTGAAGAGCTACAGTATCGGGCTATATATCTATATATGCGGCTATATGTTTGGACTCACGTGGGTGGATCGGGAGCGACATCTACAGACGGGGCGCCCCGCTATGGACGGCGCCAGAAGTCGAGAATACTTACATCAAAGTTTGCATCGAAATAACTCGAAAGCTACTGGACCAATTTTCGAAATTCTTTCACCATTGGAGAGCTACACTATCGGGCTATATATCTATATAAGCGGCTATATGTTAGGACTAACGTGGGTAGATACAGAGCGACATCTACAGACGGGGAGCCAAGCTGTGGACGGCGGCAGGAGTCGACAATTCTTTCACCAAAGTTTGCATCAAAAAAACTCGAAAATTACTGGACCGATTTTCGAAATTTTTTCACCATTGGAGAGCTACACTATCGGGCTATATATCTATATATGCGGCTATATGTTTGGACTCACGTGGGTGGATCGGGAGCGACATCTACAGACGGGGCGCCCCGCTGTGGACGGCGCCAGGAGTCGAGAATACTTACATCAAAGTTGGCATCGAAATAACTCGAAAACTACTGGACCAATTTTCGAAATTCTTTCACCATTGGAGAGCTACACTATCGGGCTATATATCTATATATGCGGCTATATGTTTGGACTCACGTGGGTGGATACAGAGCGACATCTACGGATGGGGCGCCCTAGCAGCAAAGTCCACGCCGAGGTCGAAATTCTTTCACCAAAGTTTCCATCAAAATAACTCGAAAACTACTCGACCGATTTTCGAAATTCTTTCACCATTGGAGAGCTACACTTTCGGGCTATATATCTATATATGCGGCTATATGTTAGGACTCACGTGGGTGGATCGGGAGCGACATCTACAGACGGGGCGCCCCAGCGGCCAGGTCCACACTGTGGACGGCCGCGGGGGCGGCGTGCCCTCAGCTTCTTCTGTGACGGCCGCCTCGACGACGCCTCTCGCGACGGACCTATAGCAAAAATGATACCAATAAATCTATATATATAAAACTCAAAGGTGACTGACTGACTTGACATAGTGATCTGTCAACGCACAGCCCAAACCACTGGACGGATCGGGCTAAAATTTGGCATGCAGGTAGATGTTATGACGTAGGCATCCGCTAAGAAAGGATTTTGATCAATTCTACTCCCAAGGGGATAAAATAGGGAACAGAAGATTTTAATTTTCCGTTCAACAAAGCCTCTCCGAGGCGACTGTACATGGTTCGTACGAAAAATATTTTTGCGCGAGTGTTTTCAATCTAGGGCTGAGTGCAACTTTTGCTCCGATGTTTAAATTTTGATATTTAATGATTATCAGAATGAAACATCAGTATAGTGTAATAATCATCATATAATGAAATAGTTATTTTACTAGAAAAAAATATCCCCACGGACCAGGCAGCAGACGGGACTCGAACCCGCACCCTTCGCTATCCGGGCGAATGCACTGACCATTACGCTCCAGCGGCCCTGACGGCCGTGTTGATTTTTCTCTAGCCTTAGGCTGTCAGGCAGTGCCATCTCTTCGCATTGTAAGTAATCCACAATTACAAGTATTAAACATTTGAAAGAAGAAATAGCAATTATAGTTATGTTTTTTCTAGTATTTTTTTCTTTAGATTTGCACATCTAGCAGATAAATGCTTAAATGATCATCAGAATAAAACATCAGTAAAATATTGATTTATTTAACTCACCGTTCCCACCTCCCCCTCAGCCCAGCGTTCGTAGGCACGTTCCCGCTTGAGCCATTCCTGGTATTTGTACCACCACTCTTCCCATTTCACGTAGTCGCTCAGAGTCAAGCCTGGTAGGGACGAAACAATTATTTATATAATTTATTAACAATATTAATTATTATTATATTAAATGAGAAAAATAAATTAAAAAAATCCAACTAGTATTGTGAATCAGAATGTGTGTCCGTCTGTCTGTCTGGTGAGACTTAAACCACTAATACGATTATAAGAAACTAGCAAACCAGTGAACCAAATGTTCACCAATTAATAAAAAAAAAATGTATTTAATTAATTGAGAACTTCGGAGATTTTGTGTGGTTTCGTTTGAAATTCGTGATTCCTCGAAAACCGGAAGTGCTACGTTACTCAAATCCGGTTTGTAGTCTTATCAGACTATTCTTAACTTATAACTTAAATATTCTCTTTATCTATCTCTTACGGTTTGGCCGCTGAAACAGCACCACAGACGGACGGACGGACTTGTCTAATAGATAAGAGATTTGGTAGAGATAGTTTAAGTCCCTCGAACGACTTAGGGGATATCAATCACTAGATGTAATAAGTCCAAAAAAAATGCTAGGGGTAGACGACCCTTATCACTTAGGGGTATGAAAAATAGATATAAGCAGATTCTCAGATCTATATATATGTACCTATATATATGCATATGCATATAAAGTTTCATAAAAATCGGCAAGCCTGACTCTGCCTCCGATTCCGGTTCCGACTCCGATAAATCAAATTTAAAAACTCCGGCTACGACTTCGGTTCCGATAAATTACCTCCGTTACATCCCTGATTCAAACACGCTGCATGTGCACTCAATATAACAATATCCGTCCGTCCGTCTGTCTGTGGTTTTGTTTCAGCGGCCAAACCGTAAGAGATAGATAAAGAGAATATTTTAGTTATAAGTTAAGAATACTCTGATAAGACTACAAACCGGATTTGAGTAACGTAGCACTTCCAGTTTTGAGAAATCACGAATTTCAAACGAAACCACACAAAATCTCCGAAGTTCTCAATTAATTAAATACATTTCTTTTTTAATCAGGTTTTGGTGAACATTTCGCTCACTGGTTTGCTAGTTGCGTATAATCTGTGTTATAAAGAAAAAAACAATGCCTTCAATGCTCTTATAAAGAACACAAATAGTTCAAAATTAAATAACAAATGCATCGGCAACACTTTTCATTCGTAAAACTGTCATCATCAGCCTATAAATGTCCCCACTGCTGGGGCACAGGCCTTCCCTATGGATGGATAAGGGAGATTGGGCCATGACCCACCACGCGGGCCCTGTGTGGGCTGGTGGGTGCTAACGACTACAGATGCAGCCGGGACCAACGGCTTAACGTACCTTCCGAAGCACGGAGGAGCTCGAGATAGTAAATTTCTGGTCACCCATCCAATGACCGACCACTGCGAAAGTTGCTCAATTTCAACGAATACAGCCGAACGCGCTAACCACTGGCGCCATCGAGCTCATCATCATCGTAAAACTGTAAAAACATTTTATTCACAAAAATCACGGTTTGTCGTTGTGTCGTTTGCGTAATCTCCATTTTGTTATCAAGAAAAGGACAACAATACGCTGCGTTGAAGCGTACAGTTCTGTCTCGCTCGCTCGATTGAATGTTTATATACAGACGTGTGCGTATGTGAGAGTTGCTTATGTAGTTGAGTCTGATCACATTTTATTTGATGCTAGTATGAACGTTGAGGAGCTCGATGGCGCAAGTGGTTAGCGCGTTCGGCTGCGACCGTTGAAGTTAAGCAACTTTCGCAGTGGTCGGTCATTGGATGGGTGACCAAAAATTTACTATCTCGAGCTCCTCCGTGCTTCGGAAGGCACGTTAAGCCGTTGGTCCCGGCTGCATCTGCAGTCGTTAGCACCCACCAATCCGCACTGGGCCCGCGCGGTGGGTCATGGCCCAATCTCCCTATTCCATCCATAGGGAAGGCCTGTGCCCCAGCAGTGGGGACATTAATAGGCTGATGATGATGATGATGATGAACGTACCGTATCTTCCCTTTTTGTTTTAATCTAAGGTGTAACTTTACCTCTGAGATACCCCCTCTTCTTGTAGTAATCGTAGCGGACCCTGACGTCGTCCCAGGACGGTAAACCTCCCGGAGCGGCCGCCAGAAGCTCTTCTGGATAACTGCCAACGGGAGCTGGTTCCAAGCCACTGTTAGAACAACAAAACAAATATTAATGATCTTCATAGCATTTAACTGCTAGATGTTTAAATCTAAAGAAAAGTTTACTAGAAAAAAATCCACGCGGACCAGGCAGCAGACGGGACTCGAATCCGCACTCTTCGCTATCCGGGCGAATGCACTGACCATTATGCTACCGCGGCCCTGACGGCCGTGTCGAATTTTCTCTAGCCTTTGGCTGCAAGGCAGCGCCATCTCTTCTCATTGTAGGTAACCCACTGTAGGTGACTTACACTTAATTTCTTTATTTATACATAATATAGTTAGTTAAAGATAATTTTAGTGAATATTAAATTCTGTATAATTATTATAAAATATATTTGTGTGTTGTTAAATAAATATAAGTTTAGATGTAAGCGTAATGTAAATATAATTAAGTATGTGAATTAATTATGTAACTATATTAGGTATAAATAAAGAAATTAAGTGTAAGTCACCTACATCACAATGTCAAATGAATATCTTTACAAGTATTAAACATTTGAAAGAAGAAATAGCAATTATAGTTTGTTTTTTTATTTTTTTAGCATGTAACTGCTTAATATGAATTATCTTATTTGTTTCTTAGTCTTTTAACGCACATACATCATCATCATCAGCCTACTAATGTCCCCACTGCTGGGGCACAGGCCTTCCCTATGGATGGAATAGGGAGATTGGGCTATGACCCACCACGCGGGCCCAGTGCGGATTGGCGGGTGCTAACGACCGCAGATGCAGCCGGGACAAACGGCATAACGTGCCTTCCGAAACACGGAGGAACTCGAGACAGAAGATTTTTGGTCACCAATCCATTTTATGAAGCGATGGCTGGTTCATGCGTCACGCTCGTGAACGGGTGCTGACAGTGGAGATGATTCTGCCCTTACTTCTTATACCTAATTTAATATTGAAAATGTTAATGTTTAGTTACACTTAATATAAATAACACCTTTTGTATTTCTTCTGTAGGATACAGCAATCAAAATGCAGGTGAACAATTAATGTATATTTAATCATTATGTAATGAAAGGTAACAGACTTCATGAATCATCTCTGAAGTCATTTTCAACTTGACGACTCTGTAAATAATAAAACAGGGAGAAAAAAACAGCCCTTGCTGAGTTTCTCTCCGGTTCTTCTCAGTACAAGGTCTCCCGCCGTAGATTTACGAACCGATGGCGTAGCTTCTAAGCATTCATGAGTGCTTGTAACAGCCTAAACTGAATAAATGATCTATACTTATAATAAAATCGTAGGAAAGTCAAAACTGTACATTGATTATTTTTTTAAAAAGAATACTTGGGGTGACATCCACAATCGATAACGAAGCCAAAAATATAGTTATTAGAATTTTCGTCTGTTTGTCTGTATGTTTGTCCGGGAAAAACTCAAAAAGTACTGCATGAATTTACTTCAAAGGACATTGGGCAAAAATGTTTGGACCCTCGTCTGCCACGGCTTAAACTACATTTGTGTGATAGGTATTATAATCATGATCGTCTGTGCTAAAGCGCATTAAATTCCGTCCCGGGGGTCTTTAGTTATTTTACGTTAAATAGGTACAAGTAGTATACCTAACGAACATTAATGAATGAAACAAGGGAATTAATTTAGTTTGATAGTTCGACCGTACATAGAGGGCTCAGGTATTATGGGAGTACTTCACGAGGTGCATGGGTTCAGGTTTTTTCAAAAAGTCTGTCCGTTGTAGTAAATTGACTTCTATGTAAATCGCAGCGACCACAAATCACACAAACTTGCCCAATCTTCGTAGAAAACATGATTCCAGTTCATCCATACTAATTGACAAAACCGATACTGATAAAAGACACGCTTAATGGGTTTAAATATAACATTAAATTCTGATTCTTTACAAGACCATTCTAATTATGACATTCAGATAATTATGGACATGATAAATTGACGACATCGAATAATTAAAATATTATAATAAGAATTATTGACATTTATATAGGTAATTTAATAGAAAATTTTGCATGTTATCTTTATATGACTAAATAGGTTAAGAGACAACTTAGATGAAATGTAACACCATTATTTGTACCCTATTTAATGCAAATAAATTAAATTGAATTGAATTGATAATCATGTTCAGTAAGTGCAAGCGCAGGATGGTCGGCAGGCTTTGTCGTATATCTGGTTTATATATAGTACAATAAGGCATATTATTATGGTTTTGATTAATATAAAATCAAGGTACTATAAAATTTATTCATTTAGTTACTTAAATATGCCCATATCTTTTGAATACCAGGTTATTTTTTACGGTGTCATAATAAAAAAGGCTAGTTTTTCATAGAGCTATCGATTCATACTAATTACATTGTTGGCTGAGCTGAGTGTATTTTGCCGATTGTCCTTTGGCACGAATATTATTAAGACGGGTCAACATATAGGCTACATATTATCACGCTATCACCTACGGGGAACGAGCAGTGAACCTTTATTGAAGTGAAACTTCTTTATCGGCGTTGGAAAAAAATTTACCGTCACATTTTTCGGACGTTACGCGTCACATTTTTCCGTTACGCGCCATCTTTTTTTATATTAATAGTTGATAGCTGAATGATCACACTGTCGCCGGCGAGAACTCTCTCTACTCGTTTGTAGCTGAGTGACAATAGTTATTAAAGATAAGACTCGCTCAGCCAAACTCGCATAGCGATACTCGCTCAGCGATACTCGCTCGGTTAAGCTGGCTTGGCTGTCAAAAGCCGTGCGCGTGCATTTTAACTCAGGACTGCCAATTCGTTTCTAGTTTCTACTCGCTTATCGTTCATCGTCGGAGGTGGAACATGTGCCTGAGCCGTGTAATCATAACAGTTTCATAGGCAGTAATTTGTATTCATGTCTATGATAATAAAATCCTTTTGTTTAAACTTTATCTAATTTAACTTTATTTAACCAATTTCTGGAAAGTTGCATGTAGATCATTTTTCGAAAAATAAGGCCATAAAGAAGTTTCACTTCTTACGTGTGTACACTAGTACACGCACACATTTTTTTTTCTAACTAACTCCAAGCGTACGAAGTCGCGGGCGCCTGCTTGTTACGATTATTTTTTGACGACCTCCGTGGCCGAGTGGTTTGTACGCCGGGTTTCATGGTGTCGCCGACTCGAGAGGTCTCGGGTTCGAATCCCGGTGGGGGCAGATGTTTGTGTGATGAATACGAGCATTTGTACTCTAGTCATGGATGTTTAATATCTATTTCTATATAAATATACTTATATGTGTACAGTATATGTATTCTATCCGTTACCCTAGCATCCCATAACACAAGCCTTATAGTGCTTACTTTGGGGCTAGGCTAATTGGTGTGAGTGTTGGAAATATTTATTTATTTATTATGATTACTTACGGGTAGGCCTCAGGCGCGTTGGGGTCCCGGATGGGTGACCGCGGCTGCAGGGGATCCCTTTCTATCCGCACATGTAACGTCGCCTCGCGTCTGGTTATTTTCATGTTTTCGAGGCGAGCCGAACGATCCGCGGACCATTGGGCCATTTTGCCGAATCTTTCGGAGAGTGTCAACCTGAGTAGAACAAATAAATAATTTAATAAATAGATAATGGTCATTGCATTCGCCCGGATAGAGAAAGGTGCGGTTTCGAGTCCGGACGTATGTATTAGATCCTTAACGACGCAGATGCATCTCAAATAGTGTCACTTGGGTAGGATCTCAAATGGTATCATTTCAGTAGGTTCTCAAATAGTGAAATTCTCATGTGATTAGGCTCAAATAGTGACAAATTTCTAATAATGCTCTCTCTCAAATAGTGATTCTAAGTTGGACTTCAAATAGTGACAAATATCTTAAATAGTGCCGACATCCCAAAAGTAAATTTAAGTAAGATCTTAAACAGCGAAATTTCAGTTTTGAGCCCTTCGAACTTACCTGGTCCTTCGAGCCGGATCTAGAAAGCGACTTCTGATAGTCCCTCAAGCCCGATCTACAGTCAGAAATAGATTATAAATGTACAAAGTAGCCCCCACTCACCTCTGCGGCTGCTTCGTGGAACTATCCCCGGAGTCGTCTTCATTCAAGGCGGCGGCTATAGCGGCGGGGAATACGGGGCGAGGCCTCCTCTCCCCCTCGCGCTTGAAGCGGGTAGGGGGGGGGGGCTATTTGATCCTTAACGTCGAAGATCGCAAATAGTGTCACTTGGGTAGGATCTCAAATAATGTCATTGAGGTAGGTTCTCAAATACGATTGTTGTTGTTTATGTTTTTGTGTTGTTTTTATGCCTAAACAGTGGGACACGGCATTTTATAGTCATAATTGTTTTATCATTTACATTTGTAATGGAAAGTGACTTCATGGGTTATCTCATATTGAACTCATTTTTCAAATTGACGACTCTGTATATAATACAGGGAGAAAAAAACAGCCCTTGCTGAGTTTCTTGCCGTTTCTTCTTAGTACAAGGTCTCCCGCCGTAGATTGGCGAACCGATGGCGTAGCTTTTCGACATTCACAAGTGCTTGTAACAGCCTAGACTGAATAAATGATATTGAATTTTGATTTTTTTTTTGAATAGTGAAATTATCAGATAGTACCAATTGATTAGAGTTAAATAGTGACAAATTTGTAACAATGCTCTCCCTCAAATAGTGACACTAAGTTGGACTTCAAATAGTAACAAGTAGTATAGTAGATCTTCTTCTACTTCTTTCTTCTTCAAAAAGAAACTTAGCTAGTCCCTCGAGCCGGATCTATAGTGAATAATCTACTTGGTCAGATAAAAATGTACAATACATTGTTTTAAACTTTCATGGTCACTAACATTATAGCTATTAACGGGATTGTTACCATGTACTTTGTTTTTCATGAGTCTCCGATATTTCGGCACTGTTGCAAGCGCCATGATCACGGAGTGACTCCGGAGTCACTCGTGAATAGCTATAATGTACAATAGGCGGCGGCTATTGCGGCGGGGGACACGGGGCGGGGCCTCCTCTCCCCTAACGCTTGATGCGGGTAGAGGGGGGGGGGGGGGGTGTATTTGATCTTAACGACACATATATCAAATAATGTCACTTGGGTAGCATCTTAAATGAATTCATTTGAGTAGGCTCCCAAATAGTGAAATTCTCAATTCTCTCTATCCTAAAACAGTGACACTAAGTTGGACTTCAAATAGTGACAAATCTTAAATAGTGACGACTCCCGAAAAGTAAATTTAAGTAACATCTTAAATATTGAAATTCCAGTTCTGAGCTCAAATATTAACATCCCGACGCTAAAAATGGATTTACCGGATTTGAATAGTGACACTTACCTGGTCCTTCGAGCGGGATCTACAGTCAAAAATGGAATATAAATGTACAATACAGCCCCCACTCACCTCTGCGGCTGCTCCGTGGAACTGTCCCCGGAGTCGCTGGAGTCGTCTTCATTTAAAGCGGCGGCTATAGCGGCGGGGGACACGGGGCGGGGCCTCCTCTCCCCCTCGCGCTTGATGCGCGTGGCGGGGGGCCCGGCGGGGGGCGCGGGGGGGCCGGGCGCGGGGGGCGGGGGGGCCGGCGCGGGGGCCGAGCGCGCCGCTAGCTGGGAGCGCTGCCATTCCAATACCTACGTACGGAAATGTAAATAATAAATAATAATAAGTATTTCCAACACTCACACCAATTAGCCTAGCCCCAAAGTAAGCACTATAAGGCTTGTGTTATGGGATGCTAGGGTAACGGATAAAATACATATATTGTACATATATTTATATAGAAATACATATTAAACATCCATGACTGGAGTACAAATGCTCGTATTCATCACACAAACATCTGCCCCCACCGGGATTCGAACCCAGGACCTCTCGAGTCGGCGACACCATGAAACCCGGCATACAAACCACTCGGCCACGGAGGTCGTCTAATGTGGGGATGAACAATCTACTACTAAGGGGCGGTTCAAGTATAACCTAAGCACTATATTAGCACTAAGACAGGGGCTATCTATCTGCTTTGCTTATATTTGATGAGATGGGGGGGGGGGGTCGAAATAGTGATAAGGTAGCATCATGGATTCGGGTCTCATGGACTGAAGACTGTTAACTGGAATGACCAAAAATTCGAAGAAGTTTGTTTTGTTCGTAATAATACTAATTAAAGTGAGTTAATAAGATTATAATATTTGTACCTTAATCTATGTTTTTTTTTTTCATTTATTTTGGCAACAAACAGTCATTTACATAATATTGAAGTACATGCATATATGTTAATATTAATAGACCAAACAGTGCCCAAAGTTTATTACATTTATAGCACCAAATAGAGTCTCAACATAGTCAGATTTGCACGTGTATTCATCTAATGCTAACAATTTATTGACATTAAAAGTTAACAACTTATAACACAAATAGAAATTTTCATAAACACTCTTTTTTTGGTTTTTCCATCAATATATAATTTAGTTTTCTTTTTAAACTATTGATAGATATATTACAAAGATCCAAATCGGAGAACTCTTTGTTATAAACGTTGGTGGAACGACACATATAAGAATTACGTGTATAGTTTTTGCGTAACGGCGAAGGAACAAAAAATTGCAATTTACGTGAGGAGCGCACCGGGAGACGAACTCGTGCTAAAATGGAAATTTTTCTGAGAAGAATGGACGAATCAATTTGTGAGTTTAAGAGTTTGAAAAGAAAAATAATGTCAAACATTTTACGACGATTAGAAAGCCTAAGCAGTTTATATCTAACCAAAGCTTCACTGTATGATTCATCGGCTACATTGTTGCGAAAGTTAAGAGATTTAATAAATTTACCCTATGTTGAATAATGTGTCAATAAAGTTTGTATTTATTTGATCTCACAGAATAGTAAAATCGCTGTTAATACTCATATTTAATACAAATGCCAACAGTCTAATAGCCTATTAGAATCAATTTAAGTGTAGTCAACCGAAATTGTGTAGTTTCATTTGATGTACATTGAAACAAAACACAAACTAGACAAATAAGCTATCTAGTCATTTTGCAGTACAGTAAATTAAGATCTAGACGAAATGATAAGTAGTTATTTTGCGATGTAGTCATAATGAGGGTTGGTCACACTGCAACCTAGACAGTCTGAAATCAACCCTTCATAGCTTTGAGAAAATACGATTTACAATAATAAATAATTTCTTACTAATAAATATGAAGATTAAAGTACCTATTGACTAAGGTAATTTGCATGCTACAATTATTTTAGCAAAACATTCGTTCTTTATTGTACTCTTAATTTAAGATCTTTTTTAAGTAAAACTCCTTTTCTAGTAAATTTTCTCAGGAAATTTCAAATACACTAACCTTCTCCTCCCTAGTCCGCTTGCTGGCCTCCCTGGCCTTCAGCAGTTCCCTCGTGGGTTGTACGGCGCGAGCCGGACGCGGGGCCGGACGGGGAGAGCCGGAACGGGGTCTAAATGCGAACAAAATTATAGGAAAATAAGAAATATAAATAATATTGGACCAAGGGGAGAGCCTTGGGGTACCCCTTTTTGTTAGAACTAAGAAGCAGTTGAACGCACTGATTATAATGTCATTTAAATGCATCTAAGTTTTATTTAATAAATCTTGTCTATAAAACGTGGACTAAGGATAGACTTCTTTTACACCCAATGCTGTCTCCAGAACGGGGTCTAAATGTGAACAAAATTATAGGAAAATAAGAAATATAAATAACATTGGACCAAGGGGAGAGCCTTGGGGTACCCCCTTTTTGTTTGAACTAAGAAGCAGTTGAACGCACTTATGATAATGTCATAAAAATGTATCTAAGTTTTATTTTAATAAATCTTGTCTATAAAACGTGGACTAAGGATAGACTTCTTTTACACCCAATGCTGTCTCCAGAACGGGGTCTAAATGTGAACAAAATTATAGGAAAATAAGAAATATAAATAACATTGGACCAAGGGGAGAGCCTTGGGGTACCCCTTTTTGTTAGAACTAAGAAGCAGTTGAACGCACTGATTATAATGTCATTTAAATGCATCTAAGTTTTATTTAATAAATCTTGTCTATAAAACGTGGACTAAGGATAGACTTCTTTTACACCCAATGCTGTCTCCAGAACGGGGTCTAAATGTGAACAAAATTATAGGAAAATAAGAAATATAAATAACATTGGACCAAGGGGAGAGCCTTGGGGTACCCCCTTTTTGTTTGAACTAAGAAGCAGTTGAACGCACTTATGATAATGTCATAAAAATGTATCTAAGTTTTATTTTAATAAATCTTGTCTATAAAACGTGGACTAAGGATAGACTTCTTTTACACCCAATGCTGTCTCCAGAACGGGGTCTAAATGTGAACAAAATTATAGGAAAATAAGAAATATAAATAACATTGGACCAAGGGGAGAGCCTTGGGGTACCCCTTTTTGTTAGAACTAAGAAGCAGTTGAACGCACTGATTATAATGTCATTTAAATGCATCTAAGTTTTATTTAATAAATCTTGTCTATAAAACGTGGACTAAGGATAGACTTCTTTTACACCCAATGCTGTCTCTTATCATAAGTTAATAAAGGTGACAGTATCATAAGTATTTAGGTTCTATTATCACAAAACTGAGATGGTGGTTGTTTCAATATTTCCATCTCCTTCTTCTATGAAGACACCAAAAAAAACATAAAAAGACATTGTCTCTAAACCTAAACTTAAATTTGACAACAGTGTTTCCTTGTTATTCTCTATACAGCATGAAAAGGAGAGACTGATGTTAAATTTAGATTTAAGTTTAGAGAATCACGCCAGAATTGGCACCATTGTCTAATTAAATCAGATACCCGCTTATTAATAAATGAAGAATAAGTTTACACTAGTTATGCCGAGTTTTGTACATATCACCAAATGCCATTTGTAATTCAAAGACAAAACATCGTATAACTAATCCAAGCTAACTCTTTGTATATAATAAGAAGGATTATGTTGTAGAATATTACTATTGGAGGAGCTCGATGGCGCGGATGGTTAGCGCGTTCGGATGCGATCGTTGAAGTTAAGCAACTTTCGCAGTGGTCGGTCATTGGATGGGTGACCAAAAATTTACTATCTCGAGCTCCTCCGTGCTTCGGAAGGCACGTTAAGCTGTTGGTCTTCTTTAATTTTCTTAAAATATTTGCATGAAGTTTTAACTTTTTATAAAAACAGTTATTTTTCATGATCCTCGAACTAGCGACGTGTCTTAATATGATCGATTTTTTTTAAATAATTAAAAATAACTGTTTTTATAAAAAGTTAAAACTTCATGCAAATATCTTAAGAAAATTAGACAAGACTCCTTATATGATATACTTCAACGCCCTTCAAGCTTTATTTGTATTTTTGTAACATCCTGTATACATAGATTTGGTCACTCACCTTGGTTTCACCGGCTTGGGTGGTATGGGTGCTGTTTTCTTGTTCTTAGCGGAGCACACAGAGCAAGACTCGTCCGAGCAACTGCTGACCGAAGACCCAGATCCGGATGACTGGAACAAACAAACTTACATAAGCATTCCATTTAGATTTATATATGGGACATTTTTGGGACCACCTAGCATTATACAGGACATTGGGCAAAAATGTATGGATGCTGCACCGATGTCTGCCACGGCTTAAACTACATTTGTTTGAAAGGTATTATAGTCATGATCATCTGTGCCAAAGCGCATCAAATTCCATCCCGGGAGTCTTAAGTTATTTTAAGTTAAATAGGTACAAGTAGTCGCCGACTATAAACTATGCCGAATAGTCGTCTTTCCCGACTAGTCGGCGGCTAGTCGGCCCATCTCTAGTTTAAATCTAAAGTCCCGTCTGCTGCCTGGGCCACGTGGATATTTTTCTGGTAAAATTTCCTTTAAATATGACATAGTTTATATATGTACATTATATGTATTCTATCTGTTACCCTAGTATCCCATAACACAAGCCTTACAGTGCTTACTTCGGGGCTAGGCTAGTTGGTGTGAGCGATGGAAATATTTCTTTATTTCATTGTTAGATTTACGGCACTTTACCTTTCTCGGGTCCGGCGGGGAAGGCGGTCTGACGGGAGCCCGGGGCGGAGGCCTAGCTCGGGGCCGGGGGCTCCGGGATCGACGACGAGGGGGCACTATGGGGCTGCGTCTATATAAGGCAAAATATAACACTTATACATACAGGGCGTCCCACGGGTTTGTCACACGGAGAGACAGTATATTAAATTGAAGATAGGATATTTTACTGAAAGAAGACATCACTTTATTTTTAATAATAGCTAGAACTGCATTCACTTACAACAACATAAACGATATAATGTAATGTCACTTTAACCGGAAGTTTACTAGCGTGTGACGTCATTTTAGGCTCCGCCAATCCTAAGCGTTTTGGCTAAATTGACAATAGATAAGAAAACTATTATCTTTTTCGTGGGTTTTTGGAAAAATTATGAATATTTTTTCTGTAAAAATAGTAATATATTCATTCTAAACACAAATGCTAACGATTGGCACTTTATTTTTAATACTGTGAAATACCCTATAGTTCAACACAACTGGTAAGGTATCTAGATTATAGACATTATTTATAAAGAGCAAAAATAAACTTAATTATTATTATTATACAAAGTTTTCCTTTACCTGATCGGTGTACGCCTAGGGCTGCGCCTTTGCTCGCGGCGGGGCGAACGGGAACGCGAGCGGCGGGGAGAACGGGAAACTCGGGGCGAACGGGAACGACGCGGTAACGGTGACCTGGGGACAAGGCAACAGTTAATTTCAGCACATTTGCTCAAAAAATGCATTTACGGAGGTTGTACACATTGTTCGAATGTTCAAAATTACGGGCCATACAGCGGAGCGTGCGGTAAGCATTTTACCGCACGCTCCCATACATACGCCGTGCGTTTTCTTTACGTTTTTTTTTTAATTTCGATCGAACCTCCTTGGAGGCGCTTTTAACCTATACCTTTGTCTCACTTTAATACTAAATAAACTTAACTTCTCTTTATCTCACCCCCTTTATTTTTTTTATACCTTATAGTTAGGTGAAAGTTTTTCCTTTACATATTGATATAATGATAATAGGGGTGATGACGGGGTACAGTAAAGGAAATTCTATTTAGTCCGTCAGTTAGATGATCAAAAAATAATGGACACGTATTTTTTCTTTGGGCAATCAACCAAAAAATGACAAAGTTATAGCGCGTCAAAGTTTGGGAGTAGGAGCTCGTGACGTCACTTTTGAGTGAATTTTCACTTATAACTGTACCCAAACGTGACGTCATGCGACTTTTCAAATCAATATATCTCTGCAATGTTTATATTATGTGAAAAAAGAAAAAATACGTGACCAATACTTTTTAATAATCTACCTGATAAACGAAGAAAAAAATGCATACTGACCTGGACCTCTTGGGTCTGGGAGACCTGGATCGTCGCGGCGACACAGACCCCGAGCCGTTCAGGTACATCTGCTTGTAGCCAGTGTGGCGCCATCTATCAACAATTGTTCATAAATTAATATACAACAATATTACCATCCTAATGTCTAAACTAAAAAAACCTTTAAAAATTCTGGAGATTTTGGTAACATTATTAAGCTTTTACCATGGACATGCCTTAAAATATTTCATAGTTATGTTTTTTTTAAGCATTTAACTGCTAGATGTTTAAATTTAAAGAAAAGTTTTACTAGAAAAAAATCCACGCGGATCAGACAGCGGCGAATGCACTGACCAATTATGCTACCACGGCCCTGATGGCCGCGTCGAAATTTTCTTAGCCTAAAGCTGCAAGGCAGCGCCATCTCTTCGCATTGTAGGTAACACACAACCCAACCGCGTGGATTTTTTTCTAGTAAACTTTTCTTTAGATTTAAACATCTAGCAGTTAAATGCCTAAAAAAAACATAACTAATCCTTATTTATTTTTTACTTTTCATCGATTTTTTGGGATTAGAGAGCTCCTGAGGTCCTTTTTTGATTTATTTAGTTAGAAGACACATCAATTAACGAATTTATTAATAAAAAAACTGAACCTGCTACACACGAGCCACACGCCACAGCCACAAACGCCGCCACCGAAGAAGCGGCTACTAAAGTGGCTGAAGCGCGCGACAGCGGCCGACTAAGGTAATGGAGAGAGGGGTGGGGAATCGCGCGAGTGACGTGTGGCGGCGTTTTGTATCGGCGCATTAAGTGGCCGGTGCGGGCCACAAGAAGCGAGCAACGACGATTTGTAGCGTGTGGCGGCCACCGGCGTACCGTGTGTGGCGAGTCCATATAAAATGTATGAAAACTACAAGAAATATGCCGTTGGCGGCGTTTTGTGGTTGTGGTCGGTGGCCCGTGTGCGGCGACACCAAGCCTTCTTACATTTAGGGTGAAGCCAAACGAGCGTAATTTTGTGAGTTGTGAGTCGCTTATTTTCGGTCACTTATTTTACGTTCAACTGAATTTCAGTTGAGCTGCCATACGAACGTAATTTATTCAGTTACTATTGAGCGTTAGTACGGGTGATCGTGTCGTCGAGTGCAATGGATCCATTAAAAATATTGTGTATTTACGAAGCATATTCAGAAGATGAGGCCAGAAAAAGAAACTGGGTAAACCCACTGAATAGTCAGAGGCTGATATGTGGACAGTTCCATACTTTATATGAACGTTTATGTGCAAATCCAGATATGTTTGAAAAGTACTATCATATGCCATTACGTGTTTTTCAAGAATTATTACACCACGCAACTTGTAACTAACTGTTACTCCCCCACTCCCCTTCCTTGCCCTACCCTCACCCCGACCGAAGTTCGGACGAGCTTATGCGCATTGAGTCGGCAGACAACTCATTTTGCGTTGTCGTGTGCAGAGATGTACAAAATGGTTTTAAAAAAGCATTTAAATACAAAATGCAAAATACTTTTCAGATTTACTATTTCAAATGCAAAATACTAAATAGTTTTGCGTTTTGTATTTCAAATGCTAAATGCAAAATAGGTATTTTCAAAATAGTTTTTCAAAATAAAATACCCCCTGACCAAATCACAGATATTTTTATTTATTATAGGTACATATTTACTTATCATACATGAGCAATAGAGACACACAATGCCGAGCCGAAAAACAAACGTCTAATAACATATTACATATGATTACACTTTTCTGATTAAAACTATGAACAACTGGAACTGGACTGGTATTGTTAAAAAGTGATAAAAATAAATATCATTGTTTATTTATTACGCTTTTTAACAATACCAGTTGTTCGAATACATCATCACTCATTTTCCTTCTGTGAGGTCTCATTATCATCCCACCATACGAAAAAAGTCTTTTTACTGGTGCTGAACTTGGTAAGGATGTGTTGTATTTAAAAAATACTTTTTTTTACTGTAGGATAAGCATTTAGCATCTCCAGACTTGTGCTCTCATCCTTTAAATATTGCAGGGTTTCCAGATCTATTGTAGTATTATTAGCACTACCACCCTCACTGGTTGCCGAGGAATCTGAATCCTGGAACATGTAATAAGACTCGCTTTTTTCTCTTTTTCTTTCCGATGTCTGTGATAGGAGGCTGCTTTTTAAATTTTCATTTCTTAAATTTCCTGACTTCTTGGATAAACAGCTCCCTAAGATGCTCCTTCTTATTTTTAGGCACCCACTTTAATTTGAAAAATGGATACGATATTGCTGCCAGAATGCTGTCCTTGGATCTTGGGTTATCTAAATCAAATTTTTCGAAACGATTTTGAATACTTTCCTTTATTATTTCAATTAACGGTGCCCAATAAACTGGACAGACTTCAGGTAGAAATTGTTAGACACCAGCCAAATCCACCAAGTCACGTCTATTTAGATTATCTAAATTATCTTGTAGTACGTAACCGTTCCAGGTATAGTGCATAACCGTTTCAGTATTATAGAAATAATAACAACACTTCAATATCAGAGAAGTAGGTAATCAAATCAGTAACTACTTCACTAGCACCAGAAAATAATAAACTCGTCGTGAAATCAAATCGTCGGTGTCAACGGCTATGCGTTTCATATCCATAAATTCATAGCCATAGATAATGTTCGCCGTTTTCGTTGGAAATTGACACTTGTCAGACATTACTTGACATAAGGCGCGCACTTTGACCAAAGAAGAAAAAAATGTCGCGCATGGTTAGCAGGCGCCTCTATCGGTCGAATTCGGCAATACAAGCGTTTTGTTTTGTTTGACTGGTAATGTTGGCTAATCTTAATCACAAAGTATTTTGTATTTTGAAATTAATATTAAAAATACAAAATGCATCTCGAAAGGCATTTCAAATAAAATACAAAATACTTTTCACTGAAAGGTATTTAAATACAAAATATAAAATAGGTATTTTGCATTTTCTATTTGCATTTAAAATAGAAGTATTTCAAATAAAACACATCTCTGGTCGTGTGGCATCAACTGCTTTTTTGTATGAAACCGAATGCAGCAGAATTTCTGCGGCCGAAATTCTGCGACTCACCACTCACAAAATTACGCTCGTTTGGCCGCACCCTTAATAGAAAATGATAATTGAGGAGCGCCTGTTCAAAGGGGACTGTTTCCGTATTTACTGACTTATAGTTTTTTTTTCGTGAATAGGCTAGTTGACCCTTTTTGGAAAAATGTTATAAATAGTTAATAAATGTTCTATTAGACGCGGCTAAAGAAGTATAACTTCAATAATGTATGAAACAATGTCAAAAGCAACAATTGGTCACCTGTTGGGGTCCTTCTCTTCCACCTCGAGGAGTTTCCTGTCCCAGCTACCCGGGGACGCTTGTCTCGCTCGCTTCATCACGTTGTCGATCTCCTTGCGACGGCCGGCGGGGTTGGAGGGATCTGCGAATCAAAAGATCAACTTTATTTATTTATTTATCTTTAACAAAGTTTCTGCAGGGGTTTTTGTGAAATTTAATACAATAAAATACAGATATAATCTTAAGGCCAATTACAGAAACTCATTATGTACACATTAGATATTAACGCCGTTATTATATAGTCAGTAATTACAAATTTACATTTAATTTAATTTTAAAAATTGCATAAACATCATATAATTCATTAACGTAAAAAATAAAATAAACTTAAGATTGGACAAAAACATAACAAAAAGACAAAAAAGAAGAAAAACAAACACTGAATATCCATATAAAAGGGTTTTCAAGAGTTTGTCACATGATAACTTTATGAAGTGTGGGTGGGTGTGTTTGCGCTTATGTATGTGTGTTTGTGTGTGTGTCTGTGTGTGTGTCCATGCAGCTGCAATGCTATGCCTGGTAACGAGATGGCGGACGCCGCAACCCGGGCACTACATCAAGTTAATAAATGTTTCGAACACACAGTAACCTAAGCCCAAAGTAAATACTGTGAGCCGCCCTAATCAAGGTGCTGTCCCACGATCTGTGTTGTCGCGGGCTAGGCTGTGCCAAAATGATGTTTTTTTTTTATAGATAGGTCCGACAAATGACTCCACCCCACCTGATGTTAAGTAATGGTGAAGTCCAGGCGTGAAGATAGCTGGTAATGCAGTTCTACCTGCCACACCAGCCATCCTCACCTTGCCGGCCTGAATGTTGCTTCTTCACGCCTCTTTTAAAGGATCTCAGTTTATAAGGAGGGAACACGTGAGCGGGCAGAGCATTCCATTTACGGATAGTGCGACAAAGAAATGAGTCACCAAATTTCTTTGTACGTGTTGGAATTGTGGCCACAGGTAGACGGTGACAACGTAGGCCAGCGCGCGTGGTCCTCTGGAGGAAAGGGGAAGGTGGAATAAGAGAGAATAACATTTCAGAACACTCGCCGTCGATACGATGATAAGAATAAGGATACATTAAGTGATGGTATAATGAATCTGTACTTAGACAGACAGACAGACATGGGACAGCGCCTTAAATGTGCTGTCCCACGATCTGTGTTGTCCCTTATAGCAACAGCCTGGTTTGAACGTTTGCAACAGTTTAAACCCAAACATTTTTGTCTGAAATGTAATCAGACACCTTATGATACGCTTTATTCATAAATACTTTTTTGAAGTGACAAAGATCTCATATAATTGTATGTATTCTGTAAAGAATCTGTTCGGCATAGGAACGAAAAGGAATTGAGCCCGCACCGACCCGGTGAAGAAGGCGCCTAAGGTTTGTGTTATGTGATACTAGAGTAACGGATACATATACATAATAATATATATAAAGTATACTTTTCTTAAAACTAAATTAGGCAGCCCGGTACATACGTACATTTGACCCACGGGAATTCGAAACTAGGACTTCTGAGTAGACAACTTCTTGAAACCCGGCGTTCATACCATTACTCTCGTTTTTTTTGTCACTTTTGATGGCTGCTTGTTTCTTAGAAACAGAAGTTATCGAAAAAAGAAGACATAGGAGTATAGAATGAGGTAAATTATATTTGTACGAGACGCCCGAACTAACGAAAAATAAAGATTACATGCATAGTGAGACGTCTAAAACAGTCTGAGTTATGAACTATCGAAATATGTATCTATAAGTGTAAAACAGTCTGAGTTATGAACTATCGAAATATGTATCTATAAGTGTAAAACAGTCTGAGTTATGAACTATCGAAATATGTATCTATAAGTGTAAAACAGTCTGAGTTATGAACTATCGAAATATGTATCTATAAGTGTAAAACAGTCTGAGTTATGAACTATCGAAATATGTATCTATAAATGTAAAACAGTCTGAGTTATGAACTATCGAAATATGTATCTATAAGTGTAAAACAGTCCGAGTTATGAACTATCGAAATATGTATCTATAAGTGTAATTTCACATGGATTGGTTAGTCATAAGTCATTTGTACATGATTTCATTGTTATTTTGTTAAAATAAGTCATTTGTAATAATAGAGGATGAAGACTGTGAGAAATCCCTATAAATGTTTTTTTATACACTTATTTATTTATTACATTTTAAATTGATGAATATAACATAACATAATTGTGATGTAGAGGATTCGATAGTTGGTAGAGTAGCCCCATCAGAATCAGAGGTCGCGTCGAGATGCAGCCAGGGAGGTCGAATGGGTGCAATGGCTGTATATCATGCAAGATTGTTAAACCTATTCCCTTACACTCTTACTCCCATCCTTTAAAGCATTTATTTATTTTCTGTTTCCTTTTCCTCTTCTTTCGCCTCTCACTATTATTAAACCGTCCTCTCCTCTCCCTGTCTTTCCCTATAAACGATTGCCACGGCGCCAAGCGGTGGCGCAGATAAACTATTTGTAAGTTGATAGTTGGCAACGATAGTCAATCTCTTTCTAATCGATCTTATAAGAATTATGTTAATATTGTCCGCCTTCGAAAATATAAATTTAATGTGTTTTAATTATTATTCTTCGTGTTTATTTAATTGATAGATAGTTGTAGGCAGTGGCGGCGCTAGACCACATGTGGACGCCGGCGACATCAAGTTCGCGAGGCCTATTTTAATTCGTAGTAAAAAACCGTTAAATTAAGTGAGCCAAAGTTTTTGTAATTTAATTACAATAATAGTGTTACCAGGCAGAGGATTCTGAATACCCGTAAAGTACTACTCGCTTCCATCACGCACGTGTTCGAAAATAATAAAAGTCATTATCATCTGCTTAGCTTTTCCCCCGAATTGTTCGGGGTCGGCTACCTAAGCCAGGCCAGGAGAAACGAAAATAAATAGTTAGCTTGTAAAAAATTTTTGCGAGGCCCCCTCAGGCGCGAGGCCGTCGGCGGTGGCCGACGTCGCCGACGCCTAGCGCCGCCACTGGTTGTAGGAATAGAAATAATAAAGATTCATATAAATTAGTATAGTAATTTAGGCGCCATTAAAGCGGAAAGTTAGGTATAGATTCTGTTCAATAATAAGTTACTTATAGTTACAAGTTCGATAATAAAGGTTTTATTTTTTGTGTTTTTACTTGCCCAATAGAATAAGATTTAGAGACCTTTTAATTTTGTAACTTTGTAGGGCTATAAAGCCATTGTATAAGATTAATTCTATTAGGAACTTATTGTATTCGGTCAATAAGACGTAGGACTACGTAAATAAATATGTATCAGTTGGTAAATATAGAAATAAATTGTATGAAAGTGCTAAGCACGCTCCCCACGCAACGCGCCCGGAGCGTGTGGGTGGGGCAGCGAAGGCCTGTGGCGGGCGGAGCCCCATGGAGGAGCGAGTATAAATATTACCGACACCATTATTTGCGCGCCCCAGCTAAATTATGATGATTTCAGCCGCGCAAATGCGCTAAAAATATGCTAATTTGTATAGATTTAAGGTCGGGATATTATATGTATCAAATAAATGAATAATAAAGTATAGCGGGTGTGAGGTAATGGATCGCTGGCCAGCTCAGTCCGCGCATAGAAAAAACGGGCCGGAACAGGTTCCGACATGCCATACAGCGACAGGCGCTCCTACCTAAAGGAACAGGAAGAAACAAGCGGTTCACTCTGGACCTGAAGCCTCCTGGACCGGCCAGCCATTACCAACGCCCACCGATTTTCTTCGATACAGAACACTGCGAGTTTTATTCATCGAAAGCTACAGTCCACAACCACCGTCAAGACTCCTACGTGTAACATCCTCCACCCCCAAGTGAGAGTCAATAACTGCCAGCTACTGCTACAGCCCGGCGTGCTGCACAATATTATATTTACGTATGAAAATCAATTCTTTAGTGATAAAATCAAGGAGGAATCAGTTGAGAACGTTTGTATGGAAAACACATTGCCCGCCTCTACTCTTAATGGATGAATTTGTATGGTCTAATAGAAAGTATTATTGAAATGAAATGTAAAGGTCAAGAAGCTACGCCACCGGTTCGCAAAACTACGGCGGGAGTCATTGTACTGAGAAGAACCGGCAACAACTCGGCTGTTTTTTCTCCCTGTATTGTTATATACAGAGTCGCCAAGTTGAAAAATGACTTCAGAGATACGTCTGAAGTCACCTTCCATTACATCATTTAGAATATAAATATATAGTTACAATAAATTGTATAGTTAACATTATATTTAGTACATTGGAAGCGGCATTAGATAGGTACAATATTACTGTTATGAAAAAAATATTGGTAAGTGTAAGCGTTTTGTAGCACTAGAGGAGCTTGAGCGTATAGTGCCTTTATTCCCATTTGTTCCGGTGGCAATTCCCGCGGGGCGACTGGGAATGAGGGCAAAAAAGAGTTTTGTCGATCTCAAAACTAAAAAGTTTAGTGCAAGCGTGGAAGTTACGTAACTTTCGCAATATCTGGTCCAGGTTGGTGGCCAAAGATTATTTTGTTATTTCTCATTCTTTGTGCTTAGAAAGGCATGTTCAATGAGCAATTAAGTGCTAGCTGATAGATGTAATACTAATTCAAATAATGCGATTTTGCTATACAACACGGAAACCTTGTATTTTGAGTTTTTTCATGACTATTTGCAACTGCAAGTCCTTCAACCTCCGTAAACCGTTTTGAGGTGTCTCAGTAAGTGCAAGCGCAGGATGGTCGGCAGGCTTTGTCGTATATCTGGTTGTATAGTACGATATGACTTAATATTATGGTTACTAATAATATATCTATGCCTATGTGTCATATCTTTTAACTCTATTTTTTTACGGTGTCATAATAAAAAAGGCTAGCTTTTCATAGATCTATCGATTCATACTAATTACATTATTGGCAGAGCTGGGAGTGTTTTGCCCATTGTCCTTTTCCAAAAATATTTTTACATCATCTTAAAGCCCTTCAAATTCCGCTCTTTTGAGCTCTCATACGTCCTCGTGGCCCTAAACCTCGGGGTATCACGGGCGAGTCGCACTTTCAGCGAAAATGGGGGCCTGCTAGAGTGAATGAAAAAGCATTTTCAATGTTATAATCTCTAAAGAAATATTAAATAACATTTTCTCGTTAAAATATATGGCTGTATGTACGTGGGTATATATAGTGCGCGTGTGTATATGTATATAATTAAAATTTTATTGTACGTAAATATAACAGACAGGCAACAAATAGTCTTGTCATATTCTGCCGTATTTGCATTATTGAGTAAGACAGACATAAATATTAAATATACAGGGTGTCCCATGGGTTTGTCACACCGAGAGAAAGTATATTAAATATTAAGTTAGCCCCCCACTTTTTGAATTTTATTATTATCCAGGTTGTTCCGGATTGTTCTCTGTTTGTTCTACATTATTCCAGTTTTATTTGAAAAACTAAAATTTGGAGCTGCTAGACAAAAAAAAACCTTTTAACTAAAGGTGTGCCCCAATTTGACCCTTGTTATCATACTATGTTAGTATAATTTTATGTGTAAAGTGCTTAAGAGTTTACGACTTGACAAAGGAATGAAAAAGATAACTGGCAAAGGTTTTCTTACTCGGACTGTACAAGAATAATTATACAATGTCCATGAGAGCTACTGCGGCCAAACTGTTGCAGTTTGGCAGAATAGAAATAAGTGTTGTTGCCTGGTCTACAGCGAAAATATATTACAAAAACACATACACAAAGCTTTGTTTCTGAAACATGTTTCTACACATGCCATCTAATGCTAGCGTTGCTGTCATACACAAAATACATAAGGTTACGTTCAAAAACTATGATCCAGGTGCAACAAATGTCAAATTTGGCAAAAGTTTCATGCATTTCATGTCAAAATTGAAAGGTCAAGAGTGAAAAGTTGTACTCAGAGCGTATACGTGTTTTCCATCGGACTCAGAAAGCAAAAACATTGTTGATGCAAAGAAATATGTGTAGTGAAACAAATTTTTGTGTAAAGGACTTTGTTGAATGTTATTATGTTTTTGTTGATTGCGTAGGGTTAATATTTATGAAAATTTTAATAAATAAATAAGAAACACATTATGGGAGCTTTAAATATTCATATACTATTCATACGCTGTAAATTTTAATTTTATTTTATTTTTTTTGGCTTTCATTTTGTTTCGCAATATTTATCTAATTGATTTCAGTAATTTGACATTTGTATTTAAATCTTTTATTCTTAATTTTTATTTAAATTATTATCGATGACCTTAAATGTCATTTAATTTAAGTAGGCTGCTGCTGAAAATCAGTTTCGTGGCACATGTTGCCTCGACATATACTGAGCAGTGACCTGTTTGGTACACAACCTTTATGTAACACAATAAGTTATTTTTGTAATTTGTGCCAAATAAACGTTTTATTATTATTATTATTATTATACTGACCATTGCCAAAGTTGCTTTACTTTTACAATCGCCAACCAAACACTAGTCACTTGATCATCAAGCTCCATATTACAAAAGATATACGAGTAACCAACATACCAGTAATCCGGCTATGTTGTGGATTCCGGTCCATGTGCAGACGGTTCTTTGATGCTGTCTCTGCAGCCCTGGACACGGACCCATTGCGTCTGGAAGACATCCTGGAAGCATAGTACAAAGTCAACGTCTGTCGGTGAAATCAGTGGCAAAGAAAAGCACTGTGACCCCATAGTGATATGTGGAAATCAAGGCCTATGAATTACTATTACCCAACATAAACATCCCAGCAAACTTCTTGAACGACGACCAAAGACAAGAAAGCCTGCGCAGTAGCAATTTAACATACAAAAATGTCTACTGTCTGACCATAGACAAGTTTATTTGTCTTTGGTATTGGTCAAGATGTTTGCTGCTACAAACATCTAGTTGTTTGTAAGAAGTAGGAACATTCATTTTATATTTCTACATAATACTTGATCAACATAGAGGCACTACTATGAAATGAAGAAGAAGATACGACAATCATATTTTAAAGATATTTAGTAGACAAGGCCGTTTTCAAAAATGCTGTCGATGCTAACATTGTCTTGAATATTTATTTATACGTTATTCCACAAAGAAGTGTACAAGTGGCAGACTTAATGCCATTAGGAATATAAATGGTGACTCAGCTATGTGTAACACCACTGGCATAAAAAGTTAAGGGGAATTATCAGACAAGGACATAGTACGAAAAATAACATGAAAACGATGTTAAAGGCTAGAGTAAAAGAGAAATATCACCGCAAAGACAATAGAAAATACTGTATCTATTATATATGTATGTTAGAGAGGGCAACTTCACTGTTATCAAATTTGATGACTAACCATTAAACAAGCAGGCACCCACAGTTAAGCCATAATCACTTCTGCATGCAATTTTCATAATTATATACCAGGTGCAAAAAAATACCCCAACCGTTGGTGTAAATACGGTCTACTGCAACCACATCCTCGCTTAACAAATCTGAGATCCCAGCACGAACTTTGATCGCTCCTTGTATCGAATCGTCAAAGCTTGTATGAAAACTGAGCAGGGCCCCCTACCACACGTAAGAACCAGCCAGTTGGATCTTTCCATACAAAATTTGACAGTGACAATATCGACAGTGGAAAAGCAAAATCGCTTATACGCCACTTTGGTACTGCTTAAAAATAACATTAATGAAAACGGAAATTAAGCTCATTTTTAAGCAGGACCAAAGTGGCGTATAAGCAATTTTGCTTTTCCACTGTCGATATGATTAGAGAGCTGTCAAAATTCATGCTTGGGCCTCTGACCCCAATCCCCCATAGAGCCTCATCTCACCAAAAACAAAACAATGGCAAAAGATTTGAAGACTGTTTTTTTACTGTGGTTTTTCTAAGAAGGCGTTTAAATTTGAGAAAAGATTTATTTTTGTTTTGTGGCTGTTTCCGTTTCACACAAAAATTTCGCCAATGATATGCATTTTTTAAAATAACCTAAATATGCAGATTTTACCTGGCTCAAGGTGAAATGATTGATAGGTTTTTTAATTAATCACTACTGCTAAATTCATAAACACATATGTTACAGTCATTTGAAAATATGTTTAGATAATGATTATCTTGTAATGATACCAAAGTACATTTAATTGAGGTAAGCATGAATAATTCAAAAAAAGAAGAGGAACATGTCGTTTGACAGAAATAATTACATGGCATTATGTTACAGTGAGTTTGGCATGAGTATGGTGACAAAAAATACCACTGTTTACAAACCCGATGCCGTCTTTTCAATGTTTTCTGGCATGTTTACAGAGATATCTGCAGTATTTCTTATCAATACTGACGTTTCCAATACATAACAAAGGTATTCAAATTCAAACACATGCCTTCAAAACCTATTATTAGTATAAATTATAATGATTGCAAATGAATTCTTTGTGTAATGACAAGGTGATAAAGCACACAAAATATGTCATAGAATAAACAACACACAACAGACATTGTCCCATTTTTCAAGTGCAAACATTCAAGAAATCTTAGTACTGCTTAAACAATGACAAATTCATCTCCCATTTAAGTTTTAATGACCCAGATACATTCTATTTTAAGTACTTTCACAAAATGGCCGGCCAAAGTATCGATCCAATCGCCTCCACTCAAATTATTGAAAACCTTACCTCGAGAAGATTTGCGCACGGAACGAAAGGAGCTAGGGCTCCGAACGCGCGCGACGGGACGCGGAGGGCGAAGCCCTGGGGCGCGGGCGACGGTGCCACGCGGCGGGGCTGACGCGATGCCCGCAGCGCCGCTGTAAGCCAACCGAATACTTAATTTCACGAGAGCGGCGCGCGGGCACATCGAGGACTCGCGAAGAGGCTACGCGAACGAAGACCCACGCGAGGTGAACATGCAACCTCTGGGCTCACGCGGCGGGGCCTCACGGGACAGGCCAGACGCGACATTCAACAACAACTCCATGTTCAAGCATCCTCGGTACACCTTCCATCCTTCGTCCGCAGCTCCTATGACACGGCGACAGCTGAACATCAAACATACTAAATCCACCTTAACTAATCACAAAACAAAGTTACGAACCAGCAGCGATAACACCGTAACTTTTCACTGAAGTTCAATGGTAATTCGCCAGAGATAACTCGTTAAAATCCGCGACACGCCTTGGACAGGTGAACGGCCATTTTGTTTTGCAGATGATTTTTTACGTCACGCACTCGATGAAAGTATTTTGGTATTTGACATTGTTTTAGCCAATCCCCGTCGACCGTCACTACTTTCACTTTGCACCATTGGTTGAAAATACTGTCAACAAGTACGACGACCCTTTAGGGTTGTCATATACATAATTAAACTAAGTCGTAGTATTGATTTTTATTAAAATCAACGTCTACATTAATTTTATTCAAACAATTACACACAACGAAAATTTTAGATACCCAAAAGATAACTATTGAACATGAATAAATTTAAAACTGTCTACAACGAAGCAATGACCTAAGAATGAAACAAATTTTTTTTTTTAATATGGTAACATTGTATATATTAGTGTTGTCGCATAATATTTTAAAACTATTTTAGTAGATAAACGAAATTAACATAAGTATAACAATGTTATATTTATTTTTATTTTATAATGGTTTCAAAGAGAAATTCTAAGTGCAAAACGGTCTCTTTATTAGTGTGCAAATTGGAAACTAGCATCTAATATTCATGTGTTGGTGGATGCAAACAAACAAAACTCGGGTTTTATGTTTCATAAAACTGCTACATAAATACTACTTATTTTTCAGCAGGACGGAAGCTATGATGGTGTTTTAATAGATAGTTACAGGTGAATTTATTATTATATAAACTACTCAGTATTTTTTTTATTTTTGTCAATGGGCAACAAAAATGCCATTATACAACCTTGTACTTTACTGATAGTAGTATAAGGCCTTTATGCCAGCAACAATTATCTATACCGAAATATTTCTCATAGTACAATATTGTATACAAAATATTACGATGAAATAAATGATTCTTTAAGATAGGTGAGTACCTGCCTATAAAATAAAGCCTGCATAAAAAAATAACAGAGCCACCGGCTTAGCCCCTTGTAAGATAAGATAGGAAGGGTATAAATTTTATTTATATTATCAAGAAAATCGTATATACTCGTAGGTAGATATTATCTTGTTACGATTCCACGTAGAAGGGAATACGCCGAGTTAGCAGTCACCCACAAAACAGTGCACACGGCCCTAAAAGCTGATTCAGCGAAAGATCGCATATCGGTCGCTGCAATTGACGCAACTGGCGTAAACTGCTGACTACGAGCCTCGTGCCTCCACCGCAGCGGGCTACGTGACCGGACGAGGAGCGTCACTTCGATTCTTACATCGATCGAGTCGTGACTTAAAATAATTAGATTATATTTTAATTGTAATAATTTTCCTTGTATCGGAAATTAAAGTTAGTTTTAGTAAAATAAAATTGGTTTTTTTTGAGGCCTCCGGTCGTGGCTAACGTAATTGGCGCAGTCGGTAGGATTCCCGGGTCGTCGCGTAGCCTATTGGGAATCACGGAATCGGGTTCGCGCCGCGCTACGATAGACTTTCAAGTCCTCACCGGGATCCTGCATATCGAACGGGCCTGCGCCGGAGTATCCGAAAATTGATAGCAGCTCAAGAAAGACCGAGATAATATGTTTATGTGAGTACACCTCTGATTTTTCTCTAGTGTTGCTCTCCCTTTAGTCCTTAAATTACTTATTTCCCGTAGTTATAATAGTTTTTCAAGATTTTTCACCCAAGAAGTAATAGGGCCCCTAAGGCTTTAAGGCATACTAGGGTTACCCGAACCATTATCGATAGAAATAGGAATATCGATAGTGACTTAGAGAGTAGTTTTAGCTATAGTACAATAAGCGAAGTTACAATGGCTGATCCTGATGTTATTATAAAGGCCTTACGCCTGGTGCCAGATTTTGATGGTAACCCAAACGTGCTTACGAGATTTGTGAGGTTATGTGACCAGATTGTAGAAACTTATAGTGACCAGTCAGGCGAAATAGGCAAACTTTTTATTATTAATGGTATCCTTAATAAAATAACGGGACCCGCAGCTAGGACAATAAACTCCAACGGAATTCCTGAGACTTGGGATGGCATTAGAAATGTGCTGGTAAATAATTTTACTGACCAGAGGGATGAGACCACCCTCTACAATGACCTAGCTGTGCAGACCCAGGGGAGCAACACCCCTCAAGAATTTTACGATAAATGCCAAACCCTCTTTTCTACCATCATGACGTACGTCACCTTACACGAAACCATACCTACAACAATTGAAGCAAAACGTGACTTATATAAAAAGCTTACGATGCAAGCTTTTGTACGCGGACTTAAGGAACCTTTAGGTTCTCGTATAAGGTGCATGCGTCCTGATACAATCGAAAAGGCATTGGAATATGTACAAGAAGAGTTAAACACCATGTATTTGCAAAATCGTAATGAAGCCTTACCAAAGACTGTTCAGAACGCGTCTAATTATAGACCTCCCGTACATATGCCAATGCAAAATGCTTATGCCGTTCCGAAACCGTTTTCTTTCCCTGTAAAATTCCCAAGCATGCAAGCTCCACCCCCTCGCTTTAATAACAATTTTCCGCAGAAACCTCACTTCCAACAACCCATGCCACCACCTCCCATGCGTATGCCCACGCGCACTCAACAGATGTTCAGTGCACGTCCTAATAACTATAACCCGCAAAGCAACATGTTTAGAATATCGCCTAGACCTAATTTCAATTTTAATTCTAATATTCCTAAGCCTATGAGCGGAGTAAGCCACTTTACGCCTCGAGTTTTACCCCCAACTGGGCACGATTGGACTAAGCATGGTAATCCACCACCATCAAATTATTTCAAAACTCGCGACGTAAATGTGAACGAGTGTACCCCTTACGATGACTATTCTAATTACTATTACAATGACTACTATGACACTGACCCTTACTATAATATGCCTGAGCCTTACCATGTTTATGAATATAATGACCCAAATCAATGCCAATATCAAGTTGAGGAACTACCACAAACTGATGAGTGGTATAGCCACGTAGAGGAGCAAGACCAGCCCTCTACATCCTCTAAGTCGGAAGACCAGGATTTTCGGAAGGACAGGAAATTAAAAAACTTAAAATAGAACTGAACCTTCAAACACAGAGGCAGCTACCCTATGTTCTTATTGCCAATCCGCCTCTTAAATTATTAATAGATACAGGTGCCAATCAATCTTTTCTGAGCCCTGAAGCCGTAAGCTACCATTTTCCTCACATACAACTTGATTATGACCCCTTCGAAGTATCTAATATACATGGAACCAGTAGAAATGATCATTCAATAACTATTCCTCCTTTTCCTGAGTTTAGAGACGAAACAGACATAAAATTTTTCGTATATAAGTTTCATGACTATTTCGACGGACTGATTGGACTAGACCTTTTGACTCAATGGGAAGCGACCATAGACTTAAAAGACCTATTACTGACAACACGAACTACCACGAACCCTATTAGAATGTATAACTCGCGGAACGTAAATCTCTACGAAGATATAATACCGGCAAAGTCATCAAAGTTAATACGGTTACCTATTAACGCCGCCGACGGACAAGTAATAGTTAACGAACAAGCTATTTGTAACTGCATAATTTCCGAATGCCTCACGTATAATAAGGATAGTCGCGGTATAGTAGAAGTAACGAACCCAACTAACAATGACCTTATATTTTCATTAGATCGCCCAGCAGTAGCAGAGTTATTTAACACCGAAGCTTTTGATGTTAAGTATGCAAACTCTGAAACTACTAACAATTCGCGTGTTAAAGATGTTATCTCTCGCCTAAGAACAGATCACTTAAATCCTGAAGAGGAAACGAATCTTATACAACTTTGCTCTCAATATTCCGATATATTCTATCTCGAAGGTGAACCCTTAACTTTCAGTAATAAGATAAAACACTCAATTAAGACTACCGATGAGATGCCCATCTACACAAAGAGTTACCGCTATCCTTTTGTACATCGTGATGAGGTTCGCGAACAAATTGCAAAAATGCTAGATCAGGGAATAATACGCCCCTCAGAATCTGCATGGAGCTCTCCCATCTGGATTGTTCCTAAGAAAGCTGACGCATCAGGTAGACAAAAGTGGCGTTTAGTTGTCGATTTCAGAAAACTAAACGAAAAGACAATTGACGATAAGTATCCCATCCCCAATATAACAGACATCCTTGATAAACTGGGCAAGTGCCAGTACTTCACGACCTTGGACTTGGCTAGTGGATTTTATCAGGTACAAATGAACCCTGATGATATTCACAAAACCGCATTCAACGTGGAGCACGGACACTTTGAGTTCATGAGGATGCCCATGGGTCTCAAGAATTCTCCATCAACCTTCCAAAGAGTGATGGATAATGTCTTGAGAGGGCTTCAGAACGTCATTTGCCTTGTGTACCTTGATGACGTCATCGTTTTCAGTACCAGCCTCCAAGAGCACATGGTGAATCTTGAGAAAGTGTTCCAAAGACTGAGGGAATCTAACTTCAAGATCCAGATGGATAAGTCTGAGTTCTTGAAGTTAGAGACGGCGTATCTTGGACACATCATAAGTAGGGATGGCATTAAGCCGAACCCAGATAAAATAAAAGCAATTGAGAACTACCCCTTGCCTAAAACCACCAAACAGATCAAACAGTTCTTAGGATTACTAGGGTATTATCGTAAATTCATTCCAGACTTTGCCAAAATTACTAAGCCCCTAACTCAGTGTTTAAAGAAAAACAAGTCAATAAATTTAGATTCACAATACGTAGCATGTTTTGAAAAATGTAAAAAGTTACTCACTAATGATCCCATATTGCAATACCCAGATTTCACCCGTGAATTTAACTTAACAACTGACGCCTCAAACCTCGCAATCGGTGCCGTTTTATCACAAGGGCCCATAGGCACAGACAAACCAATTGCCTATGCCTCTCGGACCCTTAACGAAAGTGAAATAAACTATAGCACAATTGAAAAAGAATTGTTAGCTATAGTTTGGGCCACTAAATACTTTCGGCCTTACTTGTTTGGGCGAAAGTTTAAAATAATCACCGATCATAAACCCCTACAGTGGCTTATGAATTTGCGAGAGCCAAATTCTAGACTCACGAGATGGCGTTTGAAACTAAGCGAGTATAACTATACCATTCTTTATAAAACCGGAAAAGCAAACACCAATGCCGACGCCCTATCTCGTGTAGAAATCTATAACGAAGAAACTGACTCCATGGCTGTGAATCCCTCTGAAATTCCTCCCTCTATAAGTAAAAATTCTGAAACTGACACAGTTCATACTGACCAGGAACATCCCATACTCGAGGTACCAATTACCGACGACCCTTTGAATAGATTTCACCGACAACTTTGCTTGACTATTGTAGGGGATATAAAAAAACGAACGACAGTAACCAAACCTTTTGACAGTCACACGCGTATTTCAGCTCAACTGTCTGAATCTAATCTGGAAGAAGACGTGGTAAACGTAATCAAAGAATACGTCAACCCAAAAGTTAAGACTGCCCTTTTCATTACACCCCCATTAGGCATATACAAAATAGTTCCTATCTTACAAGACAAATTTAAGAATTCAGCAATGAACCTGGTTATAGCAAAATTTGAGCTGGAAAACGTTAAGGAATACTTAC